AACCTGCTCTGGCAGGGGGGTTGGACTAGATGATCTCCTGAGGTCCCTTCCAACCCCACCATTCTGTGATTCTGTGATATTCCTCCAGTGCATGGGAACAAATTTACCAAAATGTAGAAACATGTTACTTGGGTAATTCGAGGGGCTGGTAAGGGGTTTTGACGTGGGAATATGCTGTAAAGGCTGGAAATAAAGTTTGTCTGCAGTTTGGAAGCTGTGCTACAAACAGCTGTAAGAAAAGTAGATGGTCTCTATGGTTCATTTGCTTGTCTGCTGCACAACTCTAGTTGTTGGATATTCTCCCTTTTCAGGATTGGGTTTTTTTTCTTTTTTTTTCATTTTCACCCATCTGGAGAGCCTGGCACATCTCTACACATTTGAGTGTGTTGTTTAGAAGAGCTTTTAATGTCGTGGCACTCTTAAGTTCTACAGTGGCTGTTGTTCAGGCCTTCTCTCCTCTCAGCATCCATTTGCCCGGGGTGTTGGACCTGTGGTTTGGGCAAATTCTGCCTCTGTATGCGGAGCAATACCTTGCTGATTAGGGTGGGCCTGTTGGCTGCTGAAGAAGACATTGAATGTAATTCACAGCAGGAAAATCAGACCATAGATACCCATTTTAGACCAAATGTCCAAGAACTGACTGAAGAGCTCACTAGCAGATGAATGAAGCTACAAAAATTCACTCTGCTCATATAGTTTAATTAAAGAATTCACACAAGACCTTCCTGCAGCTGTAGAGCAGAGGCCTACTGAGCCAATTTAGGTAGGTTTTGACTAAAACATGGCTCTGATTTGCAGGCAACAGCTTGGTGTGACAGTAAGTGCTTCATAAAGCCGTGCCTGTCATCACCTTCTGCTAACATCATTTCCACTGGTTGCAGATCTTTGTAACAAAATATTCTTCCTGGTTTGCTTAGGGTGAAGAAACTGAAGGAAACATTTGCTTTTATACAACTATTGGACAAAAACATGAGTAACCTTCGCACCTGGTTGGCCCGGATTGAGTCTGAGCTTTCCAAACCTGTTGTTTATGACATCTGTGATGACCAAGAAATCCAGAAGAGACTGGCAGAACAGCAGGTGGGAAATAGGAGCAGCCGGAGTAAATGAGCTAAAATGCTGCTGATTACAATTGGTCCTGGTTTAAAATCACCTGTTTCCTTTCTTTAGCAAGGCCTTCTGTTTGCTTTTCATGGCATGTTCCTGCCAAGATGCGTTACACGGAAAAATTTTATTTGCTTGCCCTAATTTAAGTACTGTGTTGACTTAACCCCCTTCTCCCTTCCTCCTCCACCCTAGGAAAACACGCCAAATACAAACAAAAGCATTTTTACATGAGACAGTTTTCCCAGTTAAATACAGCAGACTTGATAAGGGCTCAGCAGGACACAGACAGTGGGCAAAATCCATGAGGTTGACTTAGGCTGACAAGGCATGAACGCCGGGTCTCCTGCAAACTGGCTGTGACTTTCAGTGCTGTGATTTGATCTATTACCCTCACTAGCTCAGTTCTCTTCCTCTCCTTGCAGACAGCAGAGCAAGCTTGGCAGAGAGGGATGTTTGAGCTTTGGAGGGTGGTCTTGTGCAAACACACCTTTGACTGAGGCCTGATCCAGTGGGCAGGTTCTGCAGATCCCCTTAAGGTTGGATAGGGTGGTGTGTGAATCCTGCTGAGGCATAAGTGTGAACCAACCTAGCACCGTTGGGTGTTGGTTGAGTGTGTGTAGGCATTTATCCAAGACAGTGGCTTTCCAGGGGGATCTTAAGGATCTATGCTATTCTTAAGTGCTGGAGATGGCAAGGATTTCGTACAGCTGAACATGACAGCTATCCCAGCCAAGTGGAAGTGTGAGATGAGTTGGATAGTCCTGGAGTAAATTTCTCTCTCTAGCAGACAGGGAAGGAAAAGGAACTTCTCCAAAGCACAGACTTGCTGGTAGAGTCAGGCTTTGCTCAGGGCTGTGCTATAAGTCTGCCTAGGTTCTAAGTGTCTCCCTGGGAAGGCTGAGAATGACCACGGCTGTTATCTGGCCTTTGTGTTAAACAAGAATATTTGCCATAAAACTCTGAGGATCAAGAATAAAGCTGTCAGGCTTGGAAGCTTTATGGCATCCACCTTTAAGAACACCTGCTGGTTTTCTTCACATACTTCCCATCTTCTCTTTCTCTGGCTGCTGCTTTTGTGTCTAAAGAAAGATCCCTGAGTGACCCAGACCTGAGGGTTGTGTTCTGCTAGTTGAAATGGCTCTCCATCCACTCATGTCCTAGACATCATGGGAAGGGCCAGTTCCTCTGCAACAGAGTGGAGGTGGCTCCCACTAATTCCCTGCAGGAGCTGGTCAAACACCAGAAGCCCCAGCCCAGTGCCTCTAATGGTTTTATCTGCATTGTGAGTGGTCATATAAACAACAAGGAAATATTTTCTCCCCATCCAAACATTTTGCATTCTCAAAGTCTGTGATAAATTACCAGACAGAGAAGAACGTGGGTCACAGAGGAATTGTGTCCAAACTAATTTATTTTTCTTAAGAGCATTCAAGCTTCATCTTGCTGGAAGAGCCATCATTGGCTGCTCAGAGCTACTTACTGCTTTGTTGTTTGGATTCTGTTTCAAACCCAGGCCTCTGGGCACTTCTAAACTCCTTCTGCTGTAACCTTTCAGCAGGCTGAGTGTGAGAAGACTATGCTGACAAAAAAGACCAAAGTAAAAAAAAGCCTCTTTCACTCTGTGTTAGAGAAATCTTTATCTGAATGTGACAACTAAAAAGATCCTTCATGGGTTTGTCCGAACAATTATTTCAGCAAGAGCAGGGTGATGGTGAGAAATACATCCTACAGGCTTCTTTTATTTGACATCCCTGACTGGAAGAGCTTTACCTGTTCAGTCTTGAATAATGACGTTTAAAAGCATTGTGCAGCCACAGAGATATTTTATGGCATGTTTGTTCAATTAAAGGATAAAGATTAAAACATGAATAATATTCATTTTAAGATTTCAAAGCTGTTTCACTAATGCAGAAGTCTTGCAGCGTGTAGTCTGTTTAAGCTCTCTGGGCAATGCTGTGCAGAATTGAATGAAAAGTTACTTTTGGGGCTCAGTGTATGTTCCTGGCCCCTTTACTTAGCTTGTTCTGTTTGTCTCACCATAATACAGTCAGGTAATTTGGAATAATGGTTTGGAAAACAGCAAGGATTCAGCCTAGAGGGTTATTCCATGAACCCAGGTGTGACCAAAAGTAATGAGATTGTGTCAGCAACATTGCCATAGTGCAAGTAGAATGGATTTGTAATCTGTGGTCCAAATTCTCATTTTCACTAATACAGCTGTAAATCCAGTGTAATTTAATGAATTCAGAAGAGTCTCTTCAGGTACCCGTAGCAGTGTAGAGCCTGCTCTCAGGTGTAGAGCCTGTGTTAAAGAGACGCTGCTGCCTCTTGCTCAGACAACAGCTGTGAGTCCCTAATAAGCTGTCAAAAATTATGTTTGGTCTGCTTCTGGCAGCCTCTCATCTATGTTGAGATTTTAGCTTCTACCTTCCCTAAAGCTGTACATGACCACAAATCCCACAAGCCAAATTTTGACCGTTTATGGCTCAGCCCTTTCAGGTACCCATGTGATGCCACTGAAGACTGCCACTGGGTGATACTCAACTCCCTGCAGGTTCTTGACTTCTGAGAAGATCTTCTTTCAACTCCTTTTGTATTTACTAAGCTGTGTCTGTTTTTTGGGGGGGGGGGGGTTGTTTGTTTTATTTTGGTTTGGTTTTGTAAGTCCAGAGCAAAACCAATTCTGCTTCTTCTGTTCACTGAGATCAGTGATACTATTTAATGGGAGTTCCTGTTCACTGTTGTCAGTAAAATATTCATTTGTGTGTATTGTTCTAGTGTTATTCAAGCAAAAGTCTCTGTATCCTTCATTAGGAAAGCCAAAAATCAGTTGAAAAAATTGAAATGTCGTGGACGCTGTCCATTAATTAATATGTACAGTTGGTAGCATTGTACAGAGCTGCCTTTTCAATAAGAAATATTTAGATAAGGCTTTCTTTTTCTCTTATTCAATTACATTGAATTCAGGAGTAGTTAGAGGTACAGAATGGGAGATCAGAGTATGATGGAGATGCAGGCTCTTGAAAAGAACCGTGTAGTATAGAATAGACAAAGGGTCTTTGTCAGACCCTTTAAAATGTTTTGTCAAAACAGGAGCTCCACAAGAGAGAATAAGAAAAGTAGTGTAACACCAGCTTCTTGTGTGCTGTGTTTCATGATTTCAGCCTGTGATCACATAGTCACTAAAGACACAAACTGTACTACGAGTTCGGTGTAGTAAGCTGATGTGAGACACTGTCATCTTGTACTGTCAAAATTAATTACTATGCATTTACAGTGCACGTAAGGTTTGGATTTTGAATGCACATTAAAGTTGTCCAGACTGTTAATAAGAAGATTGAGCTTTCACTGAGAAACCAAAGCTGGACAATCCCTTTTTGCATGACAGTTCTGTCCTGACCTGTCAGCCTGTCATCTGCACAGCTCATTCTGCAAGTGTGTTTTCTAAAGCTAAATAAGCTTTTCCTGACACACAAATTGCTCTTTCCCCATCCTCTGCAGCATTTTGAAAGGGTATGTCTGAAGTCTAGCCACATGTTTCCTTCTACTCAAGCTATTCTTTTGCCAATGGCAGGATCTTCAGCGAGACATAGAGCAACACACCGCAGGGGTGGAATCCGTATTTAACATTTGTGAAGTCCTGCTACACGATTCAGATGCATGTGCTAATGAGACCGAGTGTGACTCCATCCAGCAGACTACCAGGAGTTTGGACAGACGGTGGAGAAACATTTGCGCCATGTCTATGGAAAGGCGAATGAAGTAAGTCTCTTTTCCTTGCCCCTCCTAAAGAAGCCTGTGGCAGCATTTTGAAGAAACGCTGTAGCTTTTGCCACGAGATGAATTTTGAAAAAGAAAAAAAAATAATCTAAAATTAAGAGTTAGCTTGTGATAACTTTCAGCTTTCCATTTTTTTTGCATCTCCTTCTCAGAATTGAGGAAACCTGGCGCCTATGGCAGAGGTTTTTGGATGACTATTCTCGCTTTGAAGATTGGCTGAAATCGTCTGAAAAGATAGCAGCTGAGCCTAATTCTTCTGAAGTTTTGTACACACATGCAAAAGAGGAGCTGAAGAAATTTGAGGTGAATTTTTTGACTTCATTTTTTTATGCTCAGCAGCAGGCTGAATGGTCAGACTGCTAAATACTTACTGTCTACGTTAAATGCCCGGATCACTGAAAAACACCAGTTCCACAGTGGTGTTATAGAGAACACAGTAATTTGGCCAGTGCATGGCTGATGCATTTGTCTCCAGAATTTTTTTTTTCATGTGGAGAATCCAATGCTCTGAACTGACAAGATCCTGTTTAAAAGTTAAAGATTTGCTTTTTATAGGCAGGAGACCTTTGTGGGTTGATTTATTTTTATTCTTCCTTTTCCTAATGAGTTAAATCTGAGCAGGTGATTTAAAATATGGGTCCTTCTCTGGTTGTAATTTTGCAGTTCAAAGGTCTGTTTTTAAGGGGAGAGCATCATCATCTCTCCTGATGGATAGCATCATTGGGATCCTTTTTTTTATCAGCAAGGGAACTGAGTTCCTTGATTTGCCTTGCAGGCATTCCAACGGCAAATTCACGAACGTCTCACTCAGTTGGAGCTGATCAATAAGCAGTACAGGCGCCTCGCGCGCGAGAACCGCACGGACTCGGCCAGCAAGTTGAAGCAGATGGTGCACGAAGGCAACCAGCGCTGGGATAACCTCCAGAAACGAGCCGCTGCCATTCTGAGGAGACTCAAGGTAATTGCATGATGGGGTGAGAGAGTGAGGAGGACTTGCAAGTTTCTGTAGGAATTACCCAAGGGCAAATGACATACTGGAGCAACTGTCTTGTGTTGGTTTGTGTCTTGAGTTACCAGTGTAGGAGAGCAGCTCTGGAAAGGTCACCAAGTACATGGCATAAACGTGTCCTTGGTAGATGGGTTCTTGGTAGTTGAAGAAGCATAAATTTTGGAAGGTGTGTTGCAGGCCTTACTGCTCCTATCCCACTCTCCCCTTACCTGGTCCTGTCATTGGGTGGATGCATTCATGCTCTTGCACCTTTCCATAAATAAGAGACGAAGAAACAAAAGGGCCCCAGTGGTGATATAGTTTGGAGTTTACAACTGTCCTGGTTTTGCAGCTCTGTGCCAAGTTATGACTCACCTACAGGGCTTTAAACATGGATTTGTGATGGAGAGGCATGCTGCTGTCACCAACTCCTGCTGTGCTCTCTGCCTGATGGAGGAATGTTGTCTAAGAATGTATCTGTGACACTGCAAAGAAGTGTCCTGCTAGTTGAGTTAAGCTGATCTCTGGGCAGGATAATCTGTGGTGTGCCCTGGGGGAAACTCACCACTGCCCGATTTTTAAATACAGCAGTGCTGCAAGCAATCAACAGGGAAAACTATTAGATCCCAGAAGTCAGTGGATGAGGCTGTCAGAGCTCTGATGGTGTTTGATCTGTACAGTTAGGAGGTGTTGTGTTTAGGGTGTTGTATAATCCCCTTCCTGAACAGTAAATCCACCAAGAAGAACTGGGGCTCTGCAAGCTGCATGTCTGTTTGCAGTTTCTGTGGGAGATGGCAGCAGAGAGAGAGCTCCTCCTGGCTTCCACCCCAAATGGTGCATTAATTACACTGGCGTGGTCATCCATGGTCCAGCTGATCCATTGTTTTACTGATTTTAATATCATGGGTTTAATTACTTTAATTAGAGATGGGTCTTGCTTCCTTTGTCTGTCTTCTAAATTTAAAACGAAGTAGATGTTAAACCTGAGTCCAAATAACTGTTACACTGGTATAATGATGTGGGGGAAGGTATACAGAGTGGAAGCAAGAACAAAATTTTATAGAAGCATCTTGCACTACTGAAGTTTTTTTCCCTCTCCCATATGAGGAGTGTACTAACAGAGGACACTTTATTCCAGCATCACTACAGGAAGGGGACAGTTTTTATACATAGCATGCTGCCATTTATGCCCTTAAGGGCTTTAAGGTGAACAGTGGTTTTGAAACAACACACTATTTTGAAAGGGCTCCTCTGAGCAGCTTTTTTAGTAGCTGAAGTCTTATAACACTGGCTCCCTTCTTCCTATTCAGCATTTCACCAATCGGAGAGATGAGTTTGAGGGGACGAGGGAAAGCATCCTTGTTTGGCTCACAGAAATGGATCTCCAGCTGACAAACGTGGAGCACTTCTCAAAAAGTAACTTCGATGACAAAATGCGCCAGTTAAATGTACGTATCCGTATAAAGCAGTTGTTTGATATAGCCCAGCTGATCCTATTGGGCTGCCCTCTCCTGACAGAATCATCTGCTTTTCTAGAACGTCACAATATCCAACAGATCTCTGTAGGGCTATATTTGTTTTAAGACACCAGTAAATTGTTAAGACTTACCTTCTGAATCAAGATTAAACTGTACAGTATTTAAATTCAGATTCAGTGTTCAAGCTCAGTTCTATCCTGCCATTTTCTCCTACCACTGAGTGTCAGTGACAGTGTTATCTGGCCTGGAAAGGAGCACATGCAGGTTAACAGTAAAAGCTACACTCCTGAATTCAGACATTTTTTTTCTGATGAGAATGTTTTTGAATTGGCATTAACATAGGCTCTCTCCTCTGAGTGCGTTGTTTGTAGCTGTGACTTTCAAATAGAAATAAGACAGCAGACATGTACACTGATTCTAAAGAACATACTACTTCTTTGCTACCTACTCATTTCCCCTTTCTCCCTTCACTGTTAATTGTTTTGGGATGAAGATTTACTGTGTGTAGGCTGGAGACCCAACCAGCCAAACAAATTTCTTTGCTGCTGAGAAAAAGATAGTGTGTACTTAACAGAAAAATAAACTCTGATTAGCTGAACTCTTGTATCGTGATCCCCTGCAGGCTCAGGACACTGCAATCATATTGATGGGTAGGAAATGCCACTTTGTTTGGTACTGTAATCCTGCTAATAAAACAAACCTCTGGACCTCTTGAGTAAAAACATATTTGCCAAATGAAATTAGACAACAATGTCAATTGCTGCTTTTCTTTCACTGCAGCGAGCGAGAAAGGAAGGACAAACTTTAGGCTAGAAGAGGGCACTGCAGAAGTAATTATTTTTCTTGTATGTTCCAAATAGGGTTTCCAGCAGGAAATAACACTAAACACCAATAAGATTGATCAGCTAATCGTTTTTGGGGAGCAGTTGATTCAGAAGAGTGAGCCTTTGGACGCTACCCTAATTGAAGATGAATTGGAAGAACTTCATCGATACTGTCAGGAAGTGTTTGGGCGAGTTGCCCGGTTCCATCAAAGACTGACTTCAAGGCATCCTGTAAGAAGCAACAGTTGTTTTGATGCTTTGGCAAGAATTTGATGTTTCAACTGCAATGCTCGTTGCTTATCCATAGCAGCTTGATTGCGTGGTTTGAGCTCAAAGGGATTGGGAGCTCCTCAGCAGTGGTGCCAGCTTTACTAAATCTTTGTCACCAGTTTTTTCTTCTCACACCTCTCCTGTTGGGACTCCACCTGCAGAATTTGGATAATAGCATGGAAGTAATTCACAGGGTTAATATTTAGATAGTAGTGGTTTGAGGCCTTCAAAAGCTTTTTTGGTGGTTTTAATATCACTTTGCTTTCTTTAATTTCAGTAACGTGCTTAGAATATCTCTTTATGGATTTGTTTGTGAGGCTCCATCTGTCCACTTTCTTGTGAGAACCCTGGATGAGGAACAGCATGCTCTTTACTTTTCACTGGGAACATTTAGATGATTTGCAGTTTGCTTTGGCTAAAAAAAAAAAAAAAAGAACGTATTAAAAAAGCCAAGTAGAGGAAGTAAAACGAATATCTACGAGTAGCTGCTCACCACTGCCTGAGCATCACTTCATTGCTGACCTGTGCAGTCTGTTTGGAGCTGCGTACCCCTCCCTGCAAACTAGGAAGAGAAGTTATGGTGGTGGTTTATGTCTTGAAAGAGGGGAGGTAGCTGCTGATGTGAGGATTGTTTTGGCAAAAGAGGAAGGAGGCAAAAGTGATGCTTCCCTTTAATTTTAGGCATGTGGTCTTCGATTACTGCAACTGACCGCAAAACAGTCCCCAGTAGTACTGTGTGGCTCAATCACTAGCTTATTAAGCAATGTAGATTTATTGTAGATCTTATTAACATGCAGTAACTGTTCTTTGTTTTTAGGGATTGGATGATGAGAAAGAGACCTCTGAAAATGAGACAGATCCTGAGGACTCCAGAGAAATCCAGACTGATCCCTGGCTTAAGAAGGCCATCAGCGAGGGGCCCTCTTCACCACAGTCCCTTTGCCACCTTATGCCCCCTACTCAAAGTCATGAAAGATCAGGCTGTGAAACCCCTGTCAGTGTTGACTCCATCCCACTTGAGTGGGATCACACAGGTGATGTGGGAGGTTCTTCCTCTCACGAAGACGACGAAGAAGCACCGTACTACAGTGCTCTGTCAGGTGAGAACCAATTGCCAGCTGTTTGTTATGACATGGACAACTGCAGGATGTCCCTGTGTGGGAAGGGAGGGGCACTGAGGTCTTGCTCCCATGTTGTTGGTGGGTTTTCAAGTATTATTGCTAGATGTGAGCAGTCTCATCTCTTAGATGTCTTGAAGGGAATTATATTCTCTAAACCAAGCTTATGTTTTCAGAAACAAGGTTTTAGAAACTTTACTTCCTAAGGATGTTTGATGAAAAAAGTAACTTAAAAAGTTTTTATTAAGAGTAAGAAAAAGAAATAGGAATAAAAGAGTAAAATCTTTGTCTTTGCTGTCCCTCATTGTTTCAGTTTTTTTTTAATAGCTAGAAAATACTGAATAGTGAGGAAAATGACATTATTCTTTTTTCAGATGTAGAAATCACTGAAAATCCTGAGGCATATCTTAAAATGACCACAAAAACTTTGAAAGCATCTTCTGGTAGGCACCTGCTAATGCATGTGTCTGAACATGGCAATCTCCCTGTGCTGCACGCTATATTCCTCAACCTCTCTCATATGTAATGTCTGACTTCCTGCCTTGTGTGGACACCATGCCTCATCCTGTCGTGGTGTTCTTACGCTGCAGTGTTCACATGTACATTACAGAGCAGTCAAGAACATACCGTTTAGATTTTGCCTGGTAAACGCCAAGGTGGTTACTGTCCATTTCATTGTATTGATCCAAAGTCTTCTGGTACTTCCTTGGTGGTTTGCTCTGGGTAGTAGAACTTCTTTGGTTGTTTCTAATTTTGATTGCATACTTACTGAAGGCAATAGTTACAACTCTGCAAGTATTTTTTTTGTGTTTTGTGCATGACAGAACCATGTGTCCTGTCTGTTAAATCCAGAACAAACGTTCTCCAAATCAGGACATGTTTATACTTGTCCCTGCTGAAATGCATTGCAGATGTGTCATAGTATTGTTGGGATGTAAATTTTCCAAAACCACAGTGCAGCCTTTTTCTTTTGTTTTTTTGAATACTCATACCTGTGTTCAAGCATTTTCCAGAAGAAAACAGAATGTCCCATAACTGCATGGCTCTCATCTCATTACCTTTGAAACACTGTTGATGTTTTGCAAATGTGCATGCTTTGCAAGGAAAGCTGCAAAACTGTCATTTTTATGCCATAACTTGATGCCATTTTATTCAGAGCGCTTTCTAACTTAATACAAAGCAACAGCTTCCTTGTGGAGATGGGATTTTGCATTTAGGACATATGGTTTTGGTTTTATTTGTTTCAGGAAAGTCTGTTTCGGAAACTCATCCATGGCATTCTCCTGATAGCGCAGTCTGCAGGAAACACCGATACAACAAGGCAGAGATGGTTGGAAATGTGCTGTCTGGTCCAGAAACAAGTACTCCCTATAAGCCAGACTATGTGAGTTGGAGGCTCTGTGGGCACTGAACCTGTACTCCACGGTCTGTTTGTGGTTCCTATGTAACTCCATCCTCTTCCCTCCTCCAGCGTCAAGGAAAAGATTAGTTGCAGGGGGAATGTTCACTTTATGGAAACTTTATTATTTCTGGTGGCTCAGGTAACCAGTGAGAGCCTCTACCCACTTGCTAGAAAAGCTTCTTTAAAACAATTCAGAACAGTCATGTTAGGCTCCTGATCAGAATCAGTGTCTGGAGGAACTTCCTCTATTGTCATAGGACAAGTCTAGGAGAATTTAACCCCCACCGAGGAGAGGATGCGAGTCCCCTCCCTTGATACTTACTGACATATCTCCCTTTCCTAAGCAGAAGAATTTGAAGTGTCCTTTTCTAGCAATGAACCCACCATTTAATCTGCTTCTGGACACTAAAAAATGTGCCAAAATGACTATTGTTTGTTGGTACCTTGGTCTTGGTGGCTGGTTGCCAGCTGTGGCTTTGCCAGCAGCTGCCAGGCTCAGTGGATCCGGACCAGTTGTCAGCATTCTTCCAGGCACAAGGTGGTACTGTTATCTGTCTGCTTTTGTCGCTGTTAATCCAGTCTTAGAGCCTTAGAGTCAATATTGCCAAGACCCAGAATCTAAAAAAGAGTGTCAGCAAGTGTATATTGTCTCATACATGTAGTGCAAAAGCAATTAATTTGCCATGTCCAGTCTTGTAATAATTAGCATCACTATGGTGTGTGTTTGTGTACTGAGAAGGCACAGAGAGCCAATATAAACTGTTAGCAAAGATGCAGAAGCCCAGTGCTAAATTGGACATGCAAGAGCTCAGCGACAGCCCAGCCACCACCCCAGAGTAACAGCAATGAAGCTTGACCTTTGATGGCTTGTTAACCTGCAGGGCTCATCCACCAAAATATCATACTATAGTGGCCTTCCAATACCTGAAGAGCCTACAAGAAAGCTGGGGAGGGACTTTTTATAAGGGCAGTTAGCGATAGAACAAGGGGAAATGGCTCTAAACTGAAAGAGGGCAGGTTTTGATTAGATATTAGGAAGAAATTCTTTCCTGTCAGGGTGGTGAGACAGTGGAACAGGTTGCCCAAGGAAGCTGTGGCTGCTCCTCCCTGGAAGTGTTTAAGGCCAGGTTAGATGAGGCTTTGAGCAACCTGATCTAGTGGGGGGTGTCCCTGCTGATGGCAGTGGGGTTGGAACTGGATGATCTTTAAGGTCCCTCCCAACCCAAACCATTCTGTGATTCTGTCATTCCAGGTGAAGCAACTCAGCTCTGTGAGCAGCAGCATCAACAAGGAGAAAATTACATCTGCTAACATGAGCAGTGGAGAACCCCAAGATGACCAAGAGCTTGTGAATATAGCAGCTGCAGAGCAGCAGTCAGGTACAGAGCATCAGGAGTGGCTTTGGTGCTGTGGTGTTTGTCCTGTGACCCCAGAGGTGACAAAGCAGAGATGGCACAAAGGCAGCACATTTGCCTTGGGAACAAAATAGAAGTAAACCGCTATCCTCTAAATTAATGTATTTTGCTAAGATTTGCTGAGCTGCCTTCTCACCTGGTACTGTCCAACCCATGTTTGCTGTTCTAAGCTTTTCCATTTTTTGCCAGAATTGAGATTTTTATCACACATAATATACTTCTATCTCTTTGCTGGGTGGAATGAATGGGAACAATTTCACTTTTGTGTAATATTGAATACTTCAGAGACTTTTAATCAGATTTCAAACCAAAGAAGTGTGACTCTTTGTCTAAAATAATTGCTATAGTTCGTTTCCTCGGCTATTGGTACTCCATGTGACAAGATACTAGAGCTCCTATTTACAGAAATATTTTGTCAAAGCTAGTAGCATAGTCTGTTCTTCACTGTCTTCACACTGGTCCTTTCTTCCAAATAGGCCAACAAGCTGGTTCTCTTAACCTTTTAGGACCTCATTCCTGGTTTCAGGTGCTTGAGATCGTAATAACACATCTGTACTGCAATCACAAAAGCGAATCAAGTGATAAAAAGAAGACTGCAGCTATATGCACCAGCTTACTTAGTTTATGTCTGTGGTCTCACACGTGGACCAGGGTTGAGTCCCATGCATGGGATGAATAGGAAAACCTCTGAGAAAGGCTTAGATGTGCTTCCAGAAATAGTGTTAGTGATTGCACAGGTCACATCTCTGTCTCCTTTAGCACTGAATTGATGAAACATAAACCCAAGTGCTAATTTCTGGATCATACTTGGTCCTATGAGGCATTTTGGTATCTACCAAATCACAACTGAGCTCATTTAATTCTATCTCCTTAGATTTGCTTTGTTCTTCCGAGTTAATTAAAACATCTTCAATGAATGTGATTAAATCCTGTGTACCATTACTATGTTGATAACTTGACAAGTAATATGAAACTTACAGACTGTGGACTCTCAAGAAAAACTGTGTCTGGATAACAGTAGTACACAGTAGCAATTATTTAGCCTTGAGTAGGTGGGAGAATAATTTACTCATAAAACTCCTTGCATCTGTTTTACGCACTCTTCACCTTACTGAAGATTTAAATGTTTGTTGTTCTATCATTTTGTAGGCATGATTGATAGAAATAACCTTGGTATGGAACAGCAATTCCAGGACTGGCAGCAGCTGAGCTCAGATCTCAACAACCTCTCTGCTTGGCTTGATGAAACTGAGAAAGAGCTGGAATTACTGCAGAAAGTGAAACCTCCAACCAGCATGCAGGCATTGGAACAAAACGTCAAGAAACTGAAAGTAAGTTATGGCATACTGAGAAGTGGGATTTCAAGATGTTGATACTCTTTATCATTTGTCTTTGTGCTTCTAGGATCTGTTGGCAGCACGAATGCTAATAACAATGTGCATATGCCACAGAGGAGCTAAGCTGTTTTCAGCTAGGAGGACTAAATAGGGTGGTTAAGCAAGGTGCTTCTGTCTTCATATGCAGAGATTTGCAGGCCATATGCCTGGGCAAAACAGGCAGCCAGGCTGAAATCAAAACCTCTCCCTTGCTGTTTTCTTGCAGAGACACTTTATTCTCTCTCAAACAAAACGTTCAGCCCCAAACTTCTCTTCTTAGTGCTTTTGCTTTAGAAAACAAACAAAGAAAAAAGATAAATAATGAAGGCTTAGACTCCCCAATAGCCTTGGTTAGGCCTTGTCTTGGGGGTTTGCATGTTTTGGGCAGTGATAACAGCATTTTTGCCCTGTTCTGTGCCATTCCCCTGTATGCAAACCTGAAACAGATTGAAAATTAGCTGGGTCTACAGGCTGCAGAATCTAGGCTGATTTTTTTTTTAATTGAATTGATGAGCTGGGGGTGGGGGAAAGGCTTGTAACTCCAATGGGGAGACTGAGAAAGATCGGTGTTATTCAGCAAGATGGTGTTTGCAAAGTCTTAGCTCTAAATAGCACCTTTATCCTATAATGGAAGGACATATCATTTCAAAAGATGGAGTTGTATTTTTTCACTTGGCAAATGCAGATTTCTGGTGGATTAGAATGTATTACTTAAATACGAGATACAATAGAAATTTAGTCTCTGCTAATCTTCAACCAAGTAATAGAACAGCTAAGAGAGACAATAACGTGAACATTTGTCAGCATGTGTGGTCCTGTCACTCTCAGCTTCCCTAAATTAGGACTAAGTCAGGTCTGCAGGTTGAACCAGCAGGTTACCAGGGTACATGAAAGTGCGAGGTCCCTAGGACTCGGGTAACAAAATGCCTCTGGTTGAACTCAGAGCAAGTGTTCCTAACCCCTCTGGGAGTGCAAAATCCCCATGTGGAGTCACCCAAACCCTGAGGCCACTGGTCAGTTTGGTGTCACACTCTCACGATGCTCACAGACAAGGCACTGCAGGACAGAGGAGGGATTTCTTGGGCATGTTGAGAGTATGCTTAAGCCTACACATCCTTGTGTAGTTATTAGGCATGGGAGAATGGCTCTGCAGTCCAGTGTGTGACTCCAGTAAGAACGAGTCTGATCCCATCAACCAACCTGGCTTAGGCACCAGGCACTAGGAAAGGTTTGGTGATGCCTCATGAGTGGAGGGAGATGCTTCCCTTCAGGCTAGAGCTGGATGTCTGACTTCTTCAAGGAACAGAGCTTCACTTTTTCTTTCTTCTGCATTTTCTTAAGAGGAGTCCAGCTGGCTGTAAATCCCCTTTTCAGCTTGGTTTTCTATGGGTGTCTGAAAGAGCCAGCATGCTCTAAGATGGGAATTTCATGAGGTGTCAGGACATCCCAATTGCCCTGGATAAGGATGAAGCCAGTCTGGCTGCAGACTGGCTTACAGGTGTTTCAAAGTCTATGATGGACCGTTTGTATTGTCTGCTATTGAAAGAAACTTTGTTGCTTGAAGGAGGGAGGCAAGGTTCTTTGTTGGACAAAATGTAATTTAGACCAGCAGTTTTCAACAAGTGGGACACAGATCTTGAGAATATATAGATTGACACTCGTGGTTACAAAGGCTGCTAAGAAAAGCAATCTGAGCTGTGTTGATTGCAGGACTCATCCTGCAGCTCTTACCTTTCTACTGCAAGAGCCGCAACTTGAAAAAGACTGAGTACCCTTGATTCAAACTGTAAACTTCTTGAGGGTACAAGGTATTGTTTGGCATTCATTTTTTAAAAAGACCTTCAAAAATACAGGCTCTACCTTAACATAAAGGTGGTTAGAAGGTACAGCCATGACTTTGCAAATTCCATATTATTTCCCTCTACAATTTTAAGGGAGAGGAGGAAAGCAGCAGGACTGCCGTTTGGGGGAACCTTGACAAGTCAGGGAAATGGGCTGACAGAAACTCTGACTAGAGAGAAGAAAAGGGATTTTTCACAATGGGGTGGCCTAGTGTGGGACCAGGGGCCAGGAGGGGATGGGGAATCTCTATCCTGTGAGATACTTAAAATTTGACTGGATGGGGCCCTAAGCAGCCTGCTCTGAGTTTGAAGTTAGAGCAGGACGATGGAGTCTTACAGCACCTCCAGATGTCCCTTTCAACATTATTCTAGGATTCTGAGGCAGCAAAACCTTTATAAATCAAGAGGAAATACCATGTGATGACCTATAGGAATGTTTGTCCAAATGTCAGGTAAAGAGACAGCTCAGACGAATGAAGGGCAGATGTGGATTAAGGCAAAAAGCCTGAGACTTAGGGAGAAGCACAAGCCCAACCAGATTTGTTTTCTTCAAAGTGATTTTTACTTTAAAAAAAACCCAACCCAAACAAAACTACACACAAAAAAAGGCCACCTACCTTCATATGTTCCTTACCAGTATCTGAAAAGCCACCAGTTTCAACCAACTTTCCTCAATATCTGTGCTTCTTTTGAGGGGGTATAGTTTTATTGTAAATAAACTACATGTTTTTCATCATTCATGGAAGTTCCTAATCCTCTTTTTCTACCAGAACATGCTTAAAGCATTTGATAATGGAAAGCAGCTCTGTCTTGGAGTTAACCTGAGCAGCAAAGAATTTCATAAAGAGGAGAGCACAGAGTTCAAAGAGCTTCAGAAAAGGATTTGGAAGATGAACTTGCGTTGGGAGAAAGCTACTCATGCATTGGACAGCTGGAGGAAAGGTTTACAAGAAGCCCTACTGCATTGCCAGGTGGATACCACATGCCAGTTTATAAGGGAGAACTCCTCTTTTGAGTGCTACTGAGGGGCAGATAAGGGAAGAGGGCAGAGGGGTAATTCCTTCACATTAGCAGAATGGTTGCTCAGAATCCAAGACACATAATTTTCTTATGAACTTGACTCCATTGGGTTTAAATGGTTTGGTAATAATAGCTTTGAACTGGATAATACCTTTTTATTACATAGGTGGAATAGTTTAACTAGGTTGCTGTAGCCTAATTGTGAATTTGTTGGTGGCTCTGTCTCATCTGGACTGGTTGTTTTGTTTGTAGGCAAAGCCAGGTGAAAGCACCGCAAAAGGGTTTTTTCTCTTACATGCAAATCTTTTGTTCCTCTAGGATTTCCATGACGAGAGCCAAAAACTAATCCTGTGGTTAGCAAGTGCTGATAGCCGAAGGAATGAAGCACGAATCACAGATCCAAATGCTGACCTCAGTACAATAGTGGAACGCCAAAAGGAGCTAATGGTAAGCGTAGTCTTACAGCACCTCAGCTCTTCCAGCAAGTTGGTAGCTCTCCCCACAAAATGAAGAGCAATATGCTCATTTCTCAAGATGTCTGCAGCCTGTCCTTGAACCTGCTGTATTTAGGCACGTGGCTGGTTTCTGAAATGGACTAGGAGATGGCCTATATGAGGCATTTTTTCTGTACTTAAGCATCACAATTAAGTTCCTTATGAACAGTCTTCATGCTGGAGTAAGACTTTCAATTTCCAAGATTTAATGTGTTTTCCATATGGATTAATTAATGCTAGAACTATTTCTAAACGTTAGTTCAAGCAGGTACAACCAGTCTCTTCAAGAGAACTTCATTTCATTTGTAGCTGTAATAGCCATTCCTGTGTATTGCATATTCTCAGACAGGTTGAGTTGTTCTTTAAAGCCTTACAGAGTTCCTCCTTTTATGAAAACATCCTTAAAGTTGAGAATAACTGTCTCTTGCACTGTTTTTTGTCTGTTCTAAGCAACTGGAGAAAGAGCTGCTGGAACAACAGCCTAAGGTAAACTCACTTCAAGAACTCGCTGCTCACCTGCAACTTAAATCATATGGTGAATACGGCGAAGCGGATGAGAAGGTCTGTGTAATTGGAAGGAAACTGAAACAGCTTATTGAACAAGTTTCACATGACATACAAACAATACAAGGAAATCTGGTGAGTCACAGTTTAAATAGTTGTTCATTGACCTTTCTTACTAAAAAATAACAACATATTAACAGGAAAGGTGTTTATAAAAGACTGACTTAAAACTTAAGTGCAGCAGATGAAATGACCAACACTGAGATGTGTTCAGGCATCAGCACTTTATTGAAGCTTTGCACTGCTTATATATCTTTTTTTCCTCCAGCACGTCCCAAGCACGTGGCATTCTTTCACTTTTGATTCATTACCCCTTATCACACACATGCCTAAACAATTGACATGATTGGATAATTCCACCTGTCCATGAGCCATTCTTTTACTTCTGACTGGTTACTGATTGCAGCTCACAATCATCCCTTATCTTGTCTCATACACATTCTTGCTTGTTGTTCCACTTTATTTTTCCACTCAAGGTCAGGAATTAATCGCTCAAGGCTGAAGCCGCCTGCAGCTTCAGCTCTTAAAGCACCAACACTGAAGTACTTTCACCTTTGTAAGCTGAAAAAAGAACAATTAAGTCTGGCTATAGGAAAAACTTCAGCACCAGGAGGCTTGTACAGTACTGAAACACATTGCCCAGAGAGGCTGTGCAGTCTGCATCCTTGAGGGGTTTGAGGAGTAGGCAGGATAAGGCCTTGAGTAAGGCTTTTGGTCAAATCTTGTAGCTGACCTTGCTTTGAGCAGTAGGGTGGACTAGATGAACTTCCTGAGCTCCCTTCCAACCTCAAGTGTCCTATCATCCATACCAAGTACCAGGCTGGGAGTGTGTAACGAACACCTATGAGTCGTAGTTCGTAGCAATACATTGCTTATCCTGAGAGCTGTCAGAGAGATTTTCAGGCTAATAGCTGTATGCACCTGTTCCATCGTAATTCCTTCAGGTTGTGCAAAACCAGGACAACTATGCACATTTCTTTAGGCTGGAGAACTGGAGCATCTGTTACCACTGGTTATGCCCATCCAAAGAGGCAATGGGCTGTGCACCGACAGACAGACAGTGACAGATGGTTCTTTGCACTTCATCTGTTGTGAGTTTTGAACGTGCATTTTAAAGAGGAAGGTGTGGTTACCTTTTAGGATACCAGAGCATTGCTGCTAGTTCCAGATGAGTTGGACTCAGGAGTTTGTAATCCAGTCACAGTGAAATCCAGCCCTGCTGTGAAGGAGGCAAATATTTTTTTCTACTATTTTGCTGTCCGCATATAGCATGTTTTGTCATATTTAGTCTGAAAGTTCCTCTAAATGTAATCATTTTACCTTTTAGATGCGTGTACCTTATTACAGAATTTACAACAGGACTTTAAAGTCTAGAACTGTATCTTTTGAGAAAGAGAAATTCCTTGTAGTGTCTGAAACCTGGATACTAAAAGCTGTTTCTCTCCACAGGCCACCATAAAGGGAATTGCGGATGGCAGAAATGGCAGCAGCTCGAGGTATTGTTTTATGTTTATCTCTTGAAGGGTAGTGAAAATGGCAGAGGTGAGCTGAGTGCCAGCAGAACCTGGCAGCTGTTCCTCACAGATTGACATGCAGGTGGAGGTGATTTCTGCCTACATGTAGTATCTCCTCTACCTACCAGCTCTGGGCTGCACCTTGGTGAATGGTTTTCCTTTAGCACTCCTGCTCCTAGAGCTCTGCACCCATGTGCAACCCAGGCTTGTCTTTACTCTTGAGAAAATATTTTTTGTGCAAAATGGGGAAATATTTTTGTTTTAAAACTTCCTTTGGTTTCTGGTCCAGCATACCTGGACCAAGAAACTTGTAGCTTAGAGCCACTTATTACAAACAGACCATGAAAGACAAAGGGAGAACTTCACTCCCAGTACATCAGGGTCTGTTAGAAGGGTAGATCTCAGTAATTCCAAGGCAACGGAGAGCCTAATCATTCTGAAGGGTGGCTTTCCTTTGTACTTCTACATGTATTTAGAGTGGTTTATTTGTCTGCTGGGAAAACTTATGTTTGCATCTGAAAATAGGGTAAAACCCCACTGATCAAAGCTGTTACAAAGAAATGGTTCTTTTTCAGTAGTAAGGACAGTAAACCCAAACCAGCACCTGGCTTCCCCTGGAGCAGTCTTGCATGCTTTCAAGTTATACTTGAAGTGTTTCATGTGCAGTGCATTATCCTGTAGATACACAGCCCTGCACCTTGGAAGGGTAGTTGGAACTCAAGAGAGGGAGTTAAAATAACTTGTTTAATTCAAACTCTAAAGTGCCTTTGTTTTTCTCTCTTTTTTTTTTTTCTTTTTTTTCTCCTTTTCAGAGGTGAAAGCCATCCACAACCTAGTCAAACAGTTCCTCGGTCTCCCTCCTTCTTTTACCGTATATTACGAGCAGCTTTACCTCTTCAGTTGTTCCTTCTACTGCTTTTACTCCTGGCTTTCATGGTTCCATATTCTGAGGAAGACTACAGCTGCACCCAGGCAAACAACTTCGCCCGTTCTTTCTATCTCATGCTGCGATACATCAACGGGCCTCCACCAACTTAGAAAGCAGCCCCTGAGTCTTTAGTTATACCAAAACACATTCTCTGCAGTGCTTTTTTTTTTTATGCTGCTAGCATCCATCAAGCAGTGACACTGCATAATTAACTACAGAAACTTTTGTTAGTTCCCTTACGTTTATAGCCTCCTTTCCCACTTGCAGGGAATGTGTTAAATTTCACATCTCAAAATGTATATCTTGACAAAATTTCAGCATTTTTTTTTTTTTTTACAGAAAACAGACTTTTTTCTATAGATTTTTAAACTGTAAGCAACACACTTTATACTTTGATGCAGTAGATACACTATTTTATAGGTGCAGTGCTCTTAAGCTTGGAAGGTGATTGAATACCAAGTTATTAGATGCAGAAACTATATCACAGCAATCGTAACCACAGCAGTCTGTCTTGGGATGGCACAGCAAACAAGCAGCTGAAGAAGAGGCACTTTGCCTGAAATGATCACTGCACACACCACACGTTTACCTGTATGGTTCACTACTGTAGTCACTCGGTGGAAACAAAAAGATCTCCATCTTTCTGAATCTTTGTTATTGTATTTTGTTCGTCTAACATGTTCAGTAGAAGGTTGCACATTTGTTTTGTTTTACATAAAGTGTTTTCATGGTTAGGACTACTGTGTTGTCTTTTTATACCACCTTTGAAATAAGAAATTGTTGCATTGCATGGAAATGGTTTATAATGCACATATTTTCTAGATGAACGTGATTCTGTAGACTATCCTTGATGTATACAAATACTGTAATGACTTTTTTAATGAAATATTTTTTTCAGTTTTTAACCTGCTGAATAGTGTACAGTATCTTGGGAGAGAATTGTGGTTTTTTATAAGCTTCATCCTTAAAAAAAAGAAACTGACACTTGAGCAATGGCTAGAGAAACTGTGTACAGTCAGTGCTGCCATTGCTTCTCAGTTGTACTGTTTGAGTACTGTCATTAAAATTTTGCCAATGTCTTGGGGGACTACCAGTGTGTCTAGTGGGGCGTGGCAACCAGCCGTGTGTTCCAACAGTGCTGACCCTTCCACTCTATAAGTCAGTTTATTTGCATGGCAACGCAACACCATTGGGAGCGGCATAACCACTATCTCCTGTGTCAGAGCAAGAGATGAAAAATTTGGCGGCACAGATCCTTTCCTTTGTAACAGCCTGTCATGTCCTGGAGGAAGAATACAAAGTTGTGCTTATTACTAGTTTGCAATACGGAACTGTTTCCCCACCTGGAAGTGATTTCCTAAACCAGGAGCTGTGGCAGTGCTGGAGAGGGGCAAGGCGCACATCGGGGAGAGCTTAGCGCAACAGTGAGGGCTTCGGTTGAACACTGAGAATTGTGGTGTTTGGTTGCAGTGAAAATCACCCAACAACCAGCCCATTTCTGTAATGTTTACCTATAGAAAATGTGATTTGTGAGCAGCTTTTCTTCTACACTTGGATATTCCCAACCCATATCTGGGTTACGATATGCCGGCTCCACACTGAAGTGTCTCAGCCTCAGTCCCAGGGAGCAGTGTCTGGGCTCCAGCCTGCTGAAGATGCACAGATCCAGCAGCACCTCCAGACCTGCAGCTTTCACCCCTGTGTCTATAGCTGTGTCTGTGGAGCCAGGCTGCTGCTCCAGCCATCAGTTTCAGAGCTCCAGCTCTCTCCAGAGAGAAGGGATGGATCCTCCCTGCCCCTCGCTGCACATGGACATATTCACACTCCCCTCTCTTCCTCTGCCATCATTATTTTGTATTTTGAATGCAATTACTTTCAGATGGAGCTCATTTAAGTTTCTGTCTCTGTAGTAGTCAGCCAACTCTAACCATTATTTCATTGCCAGGTTGTCACAAATGCCCATGCAAACCTTTCTGCCAAGAACTAATAGTCAGTTGCTGACATGATATTCAGTTCTTCTGCCATTAAAGAACCTATGCAGGGGAAAAAAAATTTGAGCAATGTTAAAAGGTCTAAGGAAAATTTCATAGCCTGCAATTTCCTTTCATTATGTACAGTTATATCAAATTGTTGAGCTGATGTAATATATAAAATGAGGAGCTTTCATGAAATTATCTCAAAATGTCACAAAAAAAAAAAAAACCTCTGGGAAAATAACTTTAATGTTTTTTTCTCCCCAAAACCTATTTTAAATAGTTTTACTTCCAGTTGATTATAACCACTGCACTGTAGGCTGACACCGAAGTCTGCTTCAAACAAGTAATTTATATACCCACCAATTTCTTGGTGTCATCCTCTCACTCAGAGCTGTGTTGTCAGCGTTCTGTGAAGGAAAAAAAAAAAAAAAAAAGATTAAAAAAGGGCAAGAGCAGTAGTGAGAGCAAGCACACCAGTGTGTGCTTTTGCACGTGGATTATGTGCAGGAGTGAAACCAGGCCAACACTAGTTTCTAGTTTAAGTTTTACTTCTTTGGCAGGGAGATGAGGCCTCAATCTGGTTTCAGCTCTACCTCCAGCCCTCCCCCCTGCCAAAATAGTCAACAATTCTGCTAGCGTGGGAAGCAGAGGACTGATAATTGTTTATTATGAGTTGTCCCCCCTACAGTTAAATTCATCAGTTCCTGAAGCATCCCAGCACAACCTGCATCTTCTGTAGTCACTTGGTGCTGGGAACATCCTGAGAACTCAAGTACTTGACAAAGTAAATCAACCAACAGCTTGTGGAGCTACTGCAAACGTAAGGATGAGACACTCGCCCACACCGTGATCATGCATATTCTACCCTCATGAAACCAGTCTCAGCCCAGCTACAGGAAAGAAGTGACCAAAAAGACAGATATTTAGGTTTTATGATACCTGTTTATTCAGCCACAACACTCTACAGCTGAATGAAACACACATCACCATGAGACAAGTACTCTAGGTTCACAGAACTAAAGAGCAGCTGAGCTCAAGGTCAGGGTTGTGGGGTTTTTTGCATTAGTACAAAAGGTACCAACTTCAGTCCTAAACCCATCTCCATAACAAACTTGGTGTGAGGGCAAAACATGACACTAAACCCATGTAGGAAGTAGGACTCAGAACAGAACATTCTGGGGAACATGTGCAGTAACCACTGTTAATGGCTGTGCCAGCTCCTTAGTACCTGACATGAGATGTAAAGAAGGTTTTGGCTCTTCAGGCAGCAGCAGCAGAAGATGGCATTGTTAAGGCATAGCCATCTTGTTTTCTTCATGCACTTAAATCAAAATCACTGACAACAATGTGTGAGGAATGAGGTGACTCCTACATGAAAAGGTAGAGTTAAAAAAATATCCAGTTCATAAATAAAATTAAGTCTTAGCTATGAAACAGCGTGCCACAATTCACCACACTTCAGTTCAGTAGTAAACGCTGTGAAAATGAATGTAAATAATATATAGTTTCTATATTTTAGCGATCCACTTGCCTTTAGTATTCCCATTTCCAGTGCTCTCTTTAGAATTGGATTAGGCACTGGGTCAGCACAACAACCACATCCTTAACTCCTTTGCTGAATCGTTATCTCACATGACATAAATAGCATCCAACAATTTCTTCTGAGACAAATGGTGACAACAGGAAAGGCTTTTCTGTGACTTCTAGTGCTGAGTGTATGGAGGGATCACAGGACCATGCACTGTCGAAAGAAATGGTGCAGCCTACAGCTGGGCTGAGATGAAGAGCAGCTGCCATGGTGGTGACTGTCCTTGACTGTGCTCACCTACAGCAGCCAGGAACAGGGGTTATAAGCTCCCCTGCAGTCCAAGGAAGTGGACAGAATATATTGATACATGTACTGAATATATAGCTGGTCAGTATTCAGCCCTATGAAACGGTAATTCCTGTGGCAGGCCCTTAGACAGTGCTCACTGTCAGGCACCTCAGACGAAGCCATGCAAATCCATACTTTGTTTTTAACTTCAGCTCTCAAGGTAAGAGCAACCTGTCTTCCTTGGGCACTGCTCTTGGTGGGGAAGGGAGGACGTGCTGTCTCTCTGTGCCATGTGCTCACTGTGCTAAAATCAAAGTAGATCCATCATCACAATCGCATTTCTAATTATCTGTGGGCTAAAGCACATCCTAGGGAGGGCAGCTATTTCATCAGTGCACAACTGTTTTCTGTTATTCAAACAAAGGAACAACCTTGGAGGCACAAAAGCAGGCTCTCTGGGCCAGCTTTTCAAAATCATTTGGGTCCAGCTTGATGGGAAAAGCACAGGCTTGCTCTCTGTATAGTTAGGCTCTAAGCCATCAGCGCACGGGTGGGAGCAGCAGCAGCATTGTGCTTTTCGAGACCCCAGTCATGGCCATTAGCGATACTCATCACGCTCAGGCTGAGCTTCCACGTGAAGCTTTTGTACCAATTGATATGTAAGTATTTTGAATCTTCTGAAAGCAATTCTAAATTACATTCACAGGCCCTGATCCTGAAAGGGGGAACTTCAACCACCTGAACATGTGCTGGAAAAGCAGCACAGCAAACTGCAGGCAGTCCTACATCTCTGGGTGATGGAGAGCCTGACCAGAGGAGACACATTGCTGGACATGGGGCTCACTAATGCGGAACTTCTCAGAGATCAAGGTTGGAGGTAGCCTGGGCTGCAGTGATGAAGCCCTGGTGAAATTCTCAGTCTTGAGGAGTACAATATGGGGGAAAAAGTAGAGTCAGGACCTTAAACCTCAAAAAGGCAAAATTACAGCTGTTTAGGGCACTGGTGTGTGGGATCTCGTGAGAAACTGCCCTCTGAGGCAAAGTGAACAAGAGCTGGGAGATATTTAAAGACATTTTTCTTAGGGCACAAGAGCTCTCAGTCCCAGTGTGCAAGAAGTCAGACAGGGGAGGCAGGAGGCCAGCTTGGCTAAGTCAGACTAAAACACAAGAATGAAATGCACAGGCAGTGGAGGCAGGGACATACATCCTGGGGAGATCACAGGGATATGGCCCAGGAGTGCAGGGAGAGGATCAGGAAAGCCTAGGCACAGCTGGAGCTGAACTTGGCTAGGGACATGAAAAATAATAAAGGTTTCTTCAGGTACATAGGACAACAAAAGATGATGAAATAAACTATACCTCTCACAATGAGCCGAGCAGGAGACCTGGCTACAACCAACATGGAGGCAGCTGAGGTACTCCACAACATTTTGCCTTGGTCTTCACTGGTGAGTGGTCTAGCCACGCTGCCCAGTTCACAGAACCCAAAGGCAGGGAGTGGGAGAATGAAGTACCACCCACCACAGGAGAAGGTCAGGTTTGAGACCTGAAGGTGCACAAGTCTATGGGACCTAATGAGATGCATCTGTGGGTCCTGGGGGAACTGGTGGATGAAGTTGCTAAGCCACTGTCCGTCATATTTGAGCAGTCATGGCAAGCTGAGAGAGTTGGGGTTGTTAAGCCCAGAGGACAGAAGGCTCCAGGGAGAGTTTACAGCAGCCTTCCAGTACTTAAATGGTGCCTACAGGAAATATGGAGAGGGACTCTTTACCAGGTAATGTAGTGACATAACAAGGGGTAACGGTTTTAAACTGAAAAAAGGGTAGATTTAGAGGAGATATTAGGAAAAAAATTTTTTCCTGTGAAGCTGGTCAGACACTGGCCCAGATTGCCCAGAGAAGCTGTGGCTGCTCCTCCCTGGAAGTGTTCAAGGCCAGGTTGGACGAGGCTTTGAGCAACCTGGTCTAGTGGAAGGTGTCCCTGCTGCTGGCAGGGGGGTTGGAACTGGATGAGCTTTAAGGTCCCTTCCAACCCAAACCATTCTATGATAAATTACAAACAAGACAAAAATTCTTACCTCAGAAGAGACCCACCATTGGTGTCATCTCGAATATGACCAAGAGGCAATTTTTTTCAGGGCTCACTGCAGTTTTAGGCTCTGTTAAACCACTCTAATGATGCAAATACAGCAAATGTCTTCCATACTCCAAAGGCCATCAGGAGGAAAAGAAAAAGTTCCAGTACTTAAAAGGATGCTCTCCTTTCATCACAATGATCCCTGTCAGTCAGTTAGTAAGGAATTAACATTTTATTATTAAGGAATTATGCATATTTATTGAAAAAAAATCTTAAAGTGCTACACATTTTATAGAAGCACTCAGCCTGTCAGGCACTATCTTAAGGGAGAATGTTCCAGCACATCTTTTCCCCATATTCTTCCCTCTGACTGGCAATGTGACATCACTAAAAATGGGTAATTTGCAAGAAGGCCGAGGTGTGGAAAAGGTCTTGCATTCCTGGAGACAAAACATTTCAGCTGCCTCAAATGCTCCAAGATTTACCACATTTCTTCATAAAAAATTACAGTTGTTTTACCATTTCATTCTAGTGCCAGACTTGAGAGGAATCTCAGCATATTTTTAACAGCACACATAAGGAAAAGTTTGGGCTTTTTTTTTTTTTTTTTTTTAGTCCATGGCAACTGGCACTCCTGCATGACTTGCTCACCTCTGCAAACACCCCAAAACTGCAGCATAATTTCTTCAAGTAGAAACAACCGCTTCTGGCCAGGTCCCAGCTCAGCAGCAGAGGCTGATGTACAGCTGAGCAGTGGAGGAAAGCCATAGTAAACCAGCTCTGCTCCTCCTCCTCCTCCTCCCAGCCCTGGCAGCACCTCAGCACTCCATCCATTCATGCTGAAACTGGAAAAGTTCCCCTCAATATCTAAACTGAAACGCAGCGCGACAGCTCTGCTCAGGTCTGGCAGGGACATGGACATGCTGCACACCAGGAACGCAGCATCAGGGAGTCTGTGGGATGCAGACCCATGACAAACCCAATGTCTCTCTCAAGAGACAAAGGTCCCTTGTTCAGTCATTCTGTCACACAGCTCCCTGTTTATAAACTGTGCTCTTTGAGCCACATGCACCTTCTCCTTATCCAAACACAAACACAGCTATATTAATCCAGAGAGTCGACAGCTATTGGCTTTTGGCCATTTTAAAACACTAGTAATAACTTTTAATAAAATGATGTTCAACAAGACAAAAAATATCTGTTAGAATCACATCATTTCCCTAGTTGCACTGTGCTAGTAACAGCATATATGAATCACAACACACGTGGCACAAATCTGCAGTGTGACCCTTTTACAAAGTCACTCCAAAGCAAATTTCCATTTAGATGTTAATTTTACAATTTATACCCACTCTTTCCCATTTTCTTTTTAAGAGGTTTGTTTCAAGATTGCACATAAATTCAGCACTTCTAAAAAAGCAAACCAACCAACCAACAACAACAAAAAAAATCATTTAAACATTTCTTTGAAAAACTGTGTTAAACAAAAAGATTACACAAGATAAGGAAAATCAGGAAAAGAACAATGCAACAGGCATCGAGGCCAGAAGGTGATCAAGCCCAAGAAACACAGAAACACATCTGTTTCACACTAAAACTTCCCTCAGAAAGAAAGTACCAATGAATTACAGACTGTACTCACATTTTTTTTCTCTTTTTTTGTAGTAAATGTTACACTTATCTAGAAGGGCACTGCTATATTACAGTTTCTTAAAAACAATAAAAAGGTACCTAGTAAAAATTTAGACCATCAGCAGCATCTGATATAGTACAAGATCAAAACAAGACAACAGATTTGTGTAACTCACTGAAAACTCTTTATGCTCCTCCTATAAAAAATATTGTCCTTGGCTTTGAAAAAACACCAAGATCAAAGGTTTGACTAATATTCAAAGTATGCAAATGGCATGCTAAACAAAGTCCCTAATCCAAAAGACTTATTGGCTCAAAATAGACTTTTGGTGTGATCCCAATTTAATTTTGCCATACCTGAAATGCCCAGGACATACATGTATTATATTTAGACATATCCATTTAGAGTGATTGCAATTCTAGCTCACATCAAAATGCAGTTGGCAGTTGCCAGAATGAATGATGCCATCCTGTTCTTTGCTGAGGCCAACAGCCAGGCTGTTTCCTCCAGGTTTTCTTTTGCTCAGTGCAGCTGAAATGCATGCAGAAATCAGCACAACGGCTTTTAAACCCACATCTTCAGTGAAATTTAAACAAGGAAGTGCCAGAACCATCATCCCTCCTGCTCTTTGAGGGATCCTATACAAGATAGAAAACCAGAGCATAAGGTGCCATGCACTTTGAAAAGAAGCAAGCAGCAAACCTGAGGGCAGCAGGCAAAAGCAGGTCCCAGTTTAGGTTCCCATCCACTGCCCCACCCCCTGAAAAACGGCTGCAAGAGCTTTCAGGTGGGCAGGAGATAATTCCACACCTGAGTCAAAAGGGGAGGGAAGATGGTTTGTTTCTAGCTGATTTCACAAGCCCTGATTAGCAGATCATGTACAAATGCAAACAGGTAATATTCACAGAGCAACCTCTTGTACCTAAATATTATAATAGATTTAACATCATTAATAAATATATAAAACAACATATTAATCTCACCAACAAAACACGTTTCAAAGGTCAGCACTGACTGAAATATCTCGGCAGTTTGGTCATTGTTTAAAGCACTGAAGAATAATACACAGATAATAATGTGAGTGTTAAGAAGAGGCTCACAAAATACAAACTTAAGCTCGGTTTAACACTTCTGAAGAGGCTCTGAACTGGCCCTAGAAGCTATTCTGAATGGCCTTCAAATGAAGGCCCTTGCAGCCATTGCATATTTAAGAAAAGAAGAAACTCCTTTACACTGTACATATCTTGGCACTTTATCTAGATCAGCTGCAAAGCAGGTTCCCCAGGGACCAGCACACACAGGTAAGTGGATCTGTCCCAAATGATGCTGCTCTACATTTCATACAATCTCACACTGAAAGAGGAGATTACCTAGTCGGTGCTTAAAAGCCTTAGTCTGGGAGATGGAGACCTCGGAGCTCACTCCTAGCCTTGACACAGACAACTTCTGTCATCTTAAAACAGGCCATTTATCTCTCTGTCTCAGCTCACGTTCCTCTGAAAAGGAGAGGCAGTAATTCCCTGTCTCACAGTGCTGTTCTGAGGCTTAATTTCATAAGGTGCTTTTGAAGAGTCTCAGAAAAGGCACTATAAAAGTGCAGCTGTTACAATGTCAGAAACACGGACAGAGGTGTGCGTCCCACGAGCCTTTCCCGAGATCCCGATGTGCAAATCTGGAAGAGATGAGGCCTTGCACTTGGTCACACTTCAGCAGTCCTCCCAGGAGCTTTGTTTTCTCCCATAACTTTGTTTTCTCCCATAACTTTGAACAAGCTTCACATTCCCAGGTCTTGACAGACTTACTGGGCTGCCCCATTTCGCAGACTGTCACCAGTCTCCATTTGTTCTAATGGGCTAAATTCGGGATGTGTGACCGGGGACTTCCTTTGGCCTCGGAGAGTGTGCGCATTCAGCATCTCCAGCAGCAAGTCATACACTGGGACCACATTTTTACACTTCATGCTCAGGAGATGCTCCATTCCCTTGTTACTGTGAAAGAGAACAGAAAATAAGTCAGCGATCTGGGTCTGACAATGCCGAGACAGAAAACCTGCTCATGGCTTCAAGAGTGTCCTTTTACTTATTAGGAGTGAAGAGGATTTTGCTGCTGTAGTCCCTGAGATCACTTACCACTGTCAACAGTAACAACATCTCAACACTTTAAAGCTGAGTGTTTCAATACTTAGGGAACCAAGATTTGTTTTAGTCAGCACAAACTGACTTCAGAAGATAATGCTGATGTACTGACCCTATTGAAATCAAGGAGAAAATCTCTTTGATGCTGTAAACATGGGAGGCTCACACACTTCAGCTTTATACAGAAGGGGAATTTACAATGTGTAGCTCTAGTTACCTACTTCTCCTACCTGATTGAGCAGGAAAAACAACTACCCTGGCTAACTTGAAGCAGTTTGTTTCCTCTCTGCATGTCTAGTGTCAGATCTTGCAGATGGCTAAAGGCTTTAAAAGGCATTTTTTTGTTATGCAGTAAGATACAATGACACCTTGTTAGCTTGAATGCTCTGCGGCTGTATCATGATTTGGACTAAGAGGAGATGGCTGTTGCCATTGCAGTTGCACATACATATACTCCAGATGCATTGAAGGTTTTGGGGTTGTAATGTAAGTGCACTTGCTCAACACCAAATTTATCACAGTGGAAATAGCAGCAGCCAGCCAGCACATAGCTGACCTGATGGATGGGCTTGAGAGGGGGGCAATGGTTCCAGATAAACGAGGTTCTGCTACAATTCAAGAGTTATAAATATGTTAATGGCAAAGAAAAAATTGCACCCCCCTCCCCCTATACACCCAGCTCTTGAGAGTCCTGCGTCATTTGGTAATCAAGGCTGAGAGCATCAATTATTTCCAGAGCAATGTATAATTGACTGACCAGTGCTAAGCAACGTAAAGGAGACAAGTCACAAAAAATAGTCTCCAGACTTCGGCTGAGGCAGGCTCAACATAAAAACTCTTGTTTTAATAAGAAAATATAAAAATTTTTCAAAGATTCACAATGTTTATGTTCACACCATGCCAGAACAAGAGCTCCTGCAATGCTGTGATGCAGTGTCACACCACAGTGGCCAACCCAGGTGACGGCAGTGCACCAGAACCGTGATTCAAGGTTCAGCTCTGGCTGGTGCTGTTGCTTCTGTAGGACCAGCTCTCCAACTCACCCCCAGTTCACAAACTGGCTGTTAAAATCTGCCTTTTGGCACAGTCAGGTCCCTGCTGCTGCCACCTGCTCTCCCAGGAAGCCTGTTGCAAAGGTGGTGGCTGTCTCTCTTCCAGTGTTACTACATGAAGTCAGATATGTCTATATCTCCTTTGCATGCTCCAGCCTGGTCCCAGGAGCACCTTCCCTAGACAAACAGTTCAAAGCCAAGCTGCAAGAAAGCTTTGTGAACAGCTGGTCTCTGGGTAATAATTTAAAATCACAAACAGCCTGAAAATTAAAGCATCTGTTTGTAGGGCCCTACATTTGAGTCTGCAGTGCTGCAAGCAAAGACGAGCAGTTCAAGAAGGTCCAGAAACTGGCAGGGAGCAGAAGAGCTGCTTCCCGTGGGGAAAGCAGGAGTGTGGCATCACTGTAGCACAAGTCACTTGGCTAAAATGCTGTGGTTCTGAATAAAATACAACAAATTTGGCCAAAATTGGACAAACTGGCTCCCAAAGTACACTTTGCTCCACCAAAGCCCATGCTGCAGATCAGTTTTGAAGGAAACTTTTATTTTGGACTGAAGAGTTTTGATGGCTGTGGATGTGGGGTTGGTTTTGTTTTTTCTTTTTTGAAGGCTGAATTTGTGTTGTTGTTAAACATGTTGGGCAGATACATAATGAACAATTTAATGTAATCATGGCTGTGGATGTGGGGTTGGTTTTTGGTTTTTTTTTGAAGGCTGAATTTGTGTTATTGTTGTTAAACATGTCGGGCAGATACATAATGAACAATTTAATGTAATATAGTTAAGACAGCATTTTAATATCAACACAGCACTTTTGAGTGCCAGCAAGCACTTGAGTACACTGCCTGTTTAGCTGTGCTAGGAAGGAAAGCCTTACCATGAACAGAGATGAGGAGCAGCACACTAACACCTCACACATTACACACCTTCTGTAAAATTTACCTTGCGTGTCTGACGTGTGAGAGGAGCATCAACAAGTTGGCCAGACGAGTTGTCTGCTGCTGCGAGGGGATTCCGCTCTTGGCAATAACCCACACCAAAGCTTCTGTGACTACATTAAGCAGGTGATGCAGTTTCCTGTTGCTTTCAGGTTCTTCTGCTGACAAGGGAAACATGCCTAACCAGAGAAGAGAAAGAAATACTCCCTGCTCATCAGGAAGAAAAAACCGCTATGACTGTGGATTTTTTTTCTGATGCAATATTTCAGTAGGATTAGAGAAGATATATTTCCAGACACCCCCCTCAAGACTCCATAAATGATGCTCTGTGTGCCACATCAAGCAAAGATTTACATTCCTTTGCCAAAATTTGATGGCCACATTACTTACAAACTGAGTAACTCTCCCAAATCCTCCCAAGATGACATGTTGAACATAGACCCTTCAGTCCAGAGAACGGACATGCTTTCCATTCTCCAGGGGTTTTTCCTTTGAATCACTCTGTAACTTGTAGTTTAGTAACTATTATGAATTATAGCATTATGCTTGCTCTAATACCTTCTTGCTGAAAAACCCCCTTTTTTCTCTGAGTATAGGGAGGGAGGAGACCATGGTGAGAGACACTGCTCATAGACCCAGCCTGCCATGGTGTCCATACAGCTCACTAAGGGTGCCATAATACAGCACTTGCCTACGGTGAGAAACATTAAAAGTCAGCAAAAGCAAAAAAAAAAAAAAAAAGAGTCTGAGAGTATGGGGAGGATAAAGAGGAAATCACTACTAGGAAGGTCTGGAAACACACAGTAACATTATTGACAGAGCAAAAGAGACCTGGGCAAAGAAAAAAAATCCTCCCAAAGATACTTATGGAAGGACATAGCTCCAGAGCACCTTGAAAATCAGAAGTAAAAGATTAACTGTGATGAGAAAGGAGAGCAGGGAGAGGTGAAAGGAGAGAATTTTTTGAGCAGTGAGGCTTTGAAGAAAATATGGCTGATGAATATTTTTTTAATTGGGTTTTTTGGTTGCTTGTTGTGGATTTTTTTAAGAAAAAAAGAACAGCTTTTGTTGTCTGGTGAAATACACAAGTGGGGTAACAGCTGGACTATTCCCCTTCAGAACTGGGCTGAGAATTACACAGCAGCTCCTTGCTGAAAAGAGTAGATGTAAGTAGTTAGATGTTATTTTGGTATTGGGGTTTTTTTGACAACATTAATTACAACATGTTCTGGGGCATAAAACTGTTCTGCTGCAGTCTACCCTAAACTAGTAAACACACACTCTGATTTGCTTTGTGTAAAAGGCTGCAAAGCAAAGCCCCTATCCTGAAATTCATCTTGCAGAACAGTTGAGTACTTTCAATCATTTCTGCCAATTAATTACCATAATTAGGAACATTTAAGCCAAATTAATCATCACTCCATTGAGTAACTGGTTTTACCAAAATTAAGAATTAAGGACAGGTTTGTAGAGCTGTACAGCAACTTTACTCATGACCAGGATCCAGAGAGAAACGAGCAAAACTTCTCCTTGAAAAGGACATACCCACAGCCTGGGCCATGAGCCCCACCTTCTGAGAAGTTTTCAGACTTTGGGTCTTTCATGGAGTTCTTACAACAAGACACAGACCCTAAATTCAGTAAATGATACAGTTTAGAAGTTTCTTGAGCAAAAATCCTTACAATGTGATGGTTAGAAATCCTTTCCTATTGTTCTCTTTCAGCAGCTTTATCTCATTTGACGTGTCTGCCATTTTTAGAGGTTGATTGCCCAGCCACCCTCAAAATAAAAAGTACAATTTGTTGAGCATCAGAGTCAACTGCATACTCACTGGAATTGAGGAGGATCATTGCCTTGACACACAGATACTCCTTGTGCTGCAGTTTCAGCTCTCGGAACCTTGAGGTCATGGCCAGGAGCATATCAAAGATCTCCAAAATTCCCTCTACGCATTTTCCCTCATCCCTATGGAAACACATTTAAAACGTTACCAAAAAAGTAGAATTGAGGAACTCTGACTCAGCCAGATAAAAGTCAAAGCACAAAGGGAGCAGCAAAACGCCTATCCATCTCATCTTTGGGAGAATTCAAAAGGTTCTGTCATGAAATCTAAATTGAAAATTACACTGGTATAAAAGGTCAGCACCTCTAAGGAACTCTCTAAAGCGCAGGCAGGATTGACCGCAGGTAAGTATGACCATATATCTGTTAACAGGCTTTATCATAGAATTGGTTTGGTTGCAAAAGACCTTTAAGATGATTGAGTCCAACCCTCACAGCCAGTATAATTCTGGATAATCAGTTTGAAAATCTGTAGTGCAGGGCAGAGTACCACCTGGAATAATTTTCCAGATTTGTTTCACAAGGAGTTCATACCACAACCAGTGATATCACTATTTGTACCTGATAGAGACTTCAGGACTTGGTGAATAAGAAAGTTCCTCTAAAATTAGTTTCTTGGAACAATAAGACATATTTAAAGAATAAAACAACCTCTACCCCCATCCCCCAGCATCTTTTTCTTTGAAGGTGTTTAAATGTAAATAGATTTTTTGGTGGTTTTGTAGTTTGGTTATTTTTATGTTTGCAAGTGTTTAATGAGTGCAACTTTCTCCATTTTGGATATTAGAAATGGTCTCATTTTCTGATCTGAAAAAAAAAAAGGAAAAAAAAAAAAAACAAACCCTGTAACAACAACCCTAAGCCATCCCAATGGGTTTTAAATTAAGCAGCAGCAAATTTCAAACCACTGAAGCTACTGTTCCTGTTTTTTAGGGGTTTTTTTCATATACTGGACTAAAAAAACCAATTAAGCTCTGTGACACAGTATTCAAAGGGATGCTTCTTATACTATCTGGAATATGAGATTTTTTTCTCTAGAACATTTTTAAGATGAGGCAGACTTGAGCACAGCAGTGCAGGATAATTATTTAGAATTATAAAGAACTTTACTCCTCTACTGGATCCCAAGAGGAAGGTGCTGAGCCTTCAGGCTGCAAAGCAGGCACAGGAAGGTAACACTAAGCAGATAGAGCAAGTACTGCCTGCAGAAAGGCAGCTGACTAAATATTGCCCATTTTCCTGTGTTCCTCATAGCAAAGGGGAATTTTAAGCCCTGGAGGAGAAGGGGCAGCTGCCAGTTTCAAAACAAAAGACACAAGCATCAGAGAGGTACTTGTCTACAAAGAGTATGCAGGAACTGTACCTGAAGTTCAACTAAGATAAAAACAAACAACTTACAGACCAGTTTCGTGTCTTAAAAAAAAAATAAAATAAATTACAGCATGCCCAGATGCTTGCTGGCTCCCACTCTGCTGTGTTGTGTGGAGGTAAAGGAATGAATCAAATAAGCTCACTCTATTCAGCACATACTATTTCCCGAGGAACTAAATGTATCATACGTTTTCAGGAATTTCTTATCATTGCGTTGAACAATGCAGCGTGTCCTTGCGTTAAATTTTATATGAGCAAATATTTCATACCTTCTATAAATTAAATTTCTTTTACTAACCCATTTTGCTTTCTATATCTAGGATAGTGATTATTATTCAGCTCAAGCCACAGTACTGATACAGATCTGAATTTTCCCAGGTTGAAAAGGTTAAGAAGTATTCTAAACCTGCCCAAGAGAGTAGATTGTTTCCCTGACTTTGTACCAGTATGAAGCCCAGGTCAAATCCTTCTAAGGTCCTGTAGAAAAACAGCCTTACTAATCCATATTATTCCCTGCTAGTACATGATGTTATGGAGAAATAACTTTTAATCTTGCAAACACTCTGCTTTAGCTTGAAAAAAAATACTTTCAGTATTAAAAAGCAAGCTAGAGAGGTTTTTAATCCCTTTTAACCAGTGCTGCAATGTTCATTATTATAGCTATTTATGAAGTCTGCACTAGGCTCAGGGAGAAAAACAAGTAGAGAAGCTACTTAAAATAATTAAAATATGGCCTGACACTATGTCTGCTTTTTTTGAGGGGTTAGAAGAGAAAAATCTATCCACTGGAAGAAACTGATTGACAATGTAGTGCACTGTGTTGATGTGTCTACAGTTTCAGCATCTGGAGACCCAGACCAAAAGGATCAAAATGAGCAAAAGATGTGAAAAATACAAAGAAACTTCACACTGTCCTGTACTACAGCAATTAAGGAACTGGCAATACAGGTTTTACTTAGCATTCCTTAAGCCCCTGCAAGGATGTGGAACCTCAAGATATTATTGTTACAAACACAAGTAAAGGATATTGTTAGATAAAGTATTAATAGCATCTCCTGTACTCAATCCTCTTATCATTCACTCCACCTTCAAACATGCTAATATGAAGTGTTCTCAATATGTTAATTTCTCTTACCTGTCTAGTACAAGGTCTGGTGCAAAAATTAGTTTTCCAGGATGGTCAATTGATCTCCACATCAAACCAACCATTAAAACTTCCATCCAGCAGCTCTCCAAGAGTCTTACTTGGTCATAGAGGCTGAGGTCAATGAAGCCTAAAATGATGAAAATAGCATAAAATAAATCAATGTCTGTTTATTTCTCTGGTTTGATAAAGAAGACTGAGTATATGAGAAACAAAAAGAAACAGAAAGTTTAGGGGTTTATGGGTTTGTTTTGTTTTTCCTTTTATTCTTCTTTTTTTTTTTCTTCAAAACCCATTTTTGTGTCATGTGGAGGTGAAGGAATGAATCAAATAAGTTCATTTTTGGGTTGTGAAGAAAGTCAGTAAAGGGAGTACTGACATCAGAAGGAGATGCTGCCATCTCAAATCGGAACATAAATATTTGTTATTATCCTTGTCAAATCTTCCACAAAACATTTGAAATAAAGCAGAGTGATGTTTAAGTGCGATTACTCCCATACAGCTGGTGAAACTCAAGTGATTGCAGAGGCCCTGCCTTATGTTTGGCCACCTCTTTAGATGACTATCCCACAGCCTCCTGAGTGGCACCAGTGAATCAATTGGGAAACACACATTTGTTGGAGATTACTGTATTGCACTGCAGAGGACTCCTAAGAAAATAGGCTGTTCTTTCCCCAGAACGCATATGGGTGTTGTTTGCAGGGTTTTTTTAATCTCATAAAACAGGTATGTTTCTGGGTTGGTTGGGTAACTGAAAGAACCCTCATCTTGGTGCCTCTGTGTTATCATCCCCTTTGTAAATGACGTGTTGATCCCAGCCCATCCTTTTCCTGCCACCTGCTTTCCCAAAATTGCAATAAACTGCAAAAAAAAAAGAAAAAAGAAAAAAGAAAAAAGAAAAAAGAAAAAAGAAAAAAGAAAAAAGAAAAAAGAAAAAAGAAAAAAGAAAAAAGAAAAAAGAAAAAAGAAAAAAGAAAAAAGAAAAAAGAAAAAAGAAAAAGGAAAAAAGAAAAAAGAAAAAAGAGAAAAATAAAGGGGTAATTGATGAAGGTATTAGTGTCCCCATTGCCTCCATTCACAGCATACTGGAAGCTAGAAGAGAATTAATGTGATTGTGCATGAGCCTCTTCCAGTATCTAGTTGTCTGCAGAAGTTATAGCAAGGTGTCTGATAGCACTGCAACACAGCCAGGAGGGAGAGACAGTCGTTGCCCTCCCTTTCCCTTCCCCTGCAAAAAAGACTGGGGAAAAGAGATGCACAGAAGCCAAATAAAGAGAAATAAAATTAAGACACACAAAAAAACCCTCCAAAAACCAAACCAACCAACCAAACAAAAAAACCCCACAGAAGTGTGAATTATGAAAATGGAAGTGAGAAAGCAGACTGCTCAGTCAAGGAATGAAACACAGATACAATCACAACCAGTTCAGTGGTCAAACTGTAGCTGTGTTCACAACCAAGATGAAGCCAGAGTTTTCAAAGCAGAACTGCTTTAGATAGGTCTCTTAGCAAAGGTGCTTCATTATTAGACAAGCTGGTATCTACGACTCTGCTTAGTGAAAAATCATTGCACAGCTTGGCCATGGGAGACAGGTTTCCTGTAGTTCTTCCCCTTTGTCTGAGACCTTAAAATACACACAGAACGTTTGTGCAGTCAAAGAATCTGCTGTCAGTAATTTGTACAAATGCTCTATGTATTTTAATCTTATTAAACTACTTAGGCTGGAAGACAGTTGGTGACAGCCTTGGGTTGACATAAACTGGGTAATGTGCACTCTCTCTTTTCATTGCTAAAAGTGCTGTCTTTCAAAACTGATAGCCTTGCTCCTTATTTTGTAAGAAGGGTGAACAGGAGTCTATGAGCGGTACCTTCCCTCCTGGATTTCCCTGTCATAGAATTTACTACAGAATCCACAGCCAACAACAGATTATCTACCAGACACTGGCACACACTCATAATTTTAGAAGTGCTTTTAGAAAAATAATCATGGAAGTGTGACTAATATAAACTGACAGTGGCAGTTGCCCAGGAAACAGCCCAAAAACATTTCAGAAGTTTATTTAAATAAACATTTACACTGGCGTGTGTTGATTTCTCTAGCATAAACAACCAGTTATTTGGTTTAAAAACCTATCTCAGTTGAGAAAGACACCAGACCGAGCCCCAGCATTCAAGCTACAGATACTTAAAGATCCAGATTTATCCCAGATGTCATCTGCTGAACTCACATTATCAGCACCAGCAGTATGATTTACGACCATTGAGCACAGCTGTTAGAAAGACTACAACTTTCCTTTTCCTAACTTATGCTTTAAATACTGAGGACAGCACATAACCCCCACAGCTTCCATTGCAGTGCCAGAAGTCCTATTGCATTTCACAGAATCACACAGAATCACAGAATGTCAGGGATTGGAAGGGACCTCGAAAGATCATCTAGTCCCATCCCCCAATTTGCTGCAGAGTACATTAAAATACTTGTTTTTCTATGGCTGTAGTACACATCCTTTAAATCGCGTGCTCTACACCAAATCATTGAATTACAAATTACTAAAACAGACAAGAAAAAACTTGTGTTAGATGTATAGTAACTATCAAAAGACACGCTGCTCTGGCCAGCAACACACTAGGTTGCATAATGAAGCCAAATTTCAATATTATGACAACATCCTATCGATTAGCAATGCAGGTTCAGATATGAACTGCGTTCAACTCTCAGACTGGGTCAACAAAGTGAAAGGCAATTATAGAAGTTCTGTTCTGCCGTCTGACAACTTCGAATTAAAATACTTAGAATTCAGATGGAAAAAAAATTCAGATGTCAGTTTCTACTTTACTGAGAAATATCAAAAATACAATCCATTAAGCTGAAAGTACAGACAAAAATACAGTCACAGAGGAAAGCTCATAACAAAATAGGGTCATTAAATATTAAATACGAAAAAATAAAATATAAGCATTTATCTTTCCTGTTTAGGCAAAAAGTTACTGTTAACATCAACATCTATAAGGAAAAATAAAAACATTTTATTTCACTTTTGGTGAGTGTCAAAATAATATCCATTAATAATTTAGAGTTGAAAACAGGCTTCCTACCCAGCTACACAAAAGTAAATATTCAGCTTTACAGAAAGTAAAATTACTGTTCACTGGGCCATTAGTCAAGAACTCTGTAATTTTTTTCCTAAGACCTTAGCTCCAGGAGGCAGAGCCTGGATCTAGATAATTAACTTCAAGCAAGAATTTTTGAAAACTTAAATTCTATGTCCTAAACTTTAGTAATCACAGTTATTTTAATGGAAAATATAAATAAATCCACATTCAAGTAAATGCTCTAACTACCTTGTAGTATAGCAATATTACTTGTAATTAGGTACATATTAAACACCACATCTATTTTTGGCATTGTTCTAAAGTGGTGTTTACTTCTGTTCTGTGTAACAGCAGAAAAAACAAACAAACATGATAAAGTGTCAACATTCTCAGGAAGTGTTTTGAAGTGGTTTGACAGCTTCAAGGGGTTTTCTTCATACAGTTCTTTTATTGCCAAGAAAAAGTTTTTCTTTCTGAAAGATGTCGAAAAATAAACTAAAGCAATCAATGCTGAAATTGGGGTGGGTTTGGAAATTGATCTTTTAAAAAATTCAAAAAGTTAATCTCAACTGGCTGAGGTTTTGGGTTTGCGGTTTTGGGGGGGTTTTTTTTAAAAAAAGCTGTCATAGGTAAAAAAATAGAAATTAAGAACAATCAGAAAATGGAAAAGGTTGTTTTGTAGTTTTTTCCCATGCAAATATTGCTTTAAATTAGGTAATTTTCAAAGACTTTCTCTGGTTTTCCGTCACAATTCACTTCCTATCAGATTAACATAACTATAGTGAGTCCTCCGAAATGGTACCTTTTAATCAAGTTTTTCTGATCAGACAATAAATTATAGCAATAGACACCACTTAACCCCTTATGGTTCCTTACTTTACAGTTATTTTCAGAGTTTCTTAAATCAGGAAAAATAAGGATTAAGGATTCGGGTTCTCAGTTTAAAACCTTCCACATTAATGGCAAAACCACTATCACTTTGCAAACGGCGAGTGTGCTTTCAGATGCTCGTGCTGTGCAAGCATCTCCTCCCCAGCAGTTCAACAGCTGACCTGGAATTTGCACCCCTGAAACCATCACACCTGAACCCTCCAACAGAGGCTGAGCTGCGGAGAGGGTAACCTGCAACTAGGAGATGTGGTCCAGCAGCTGGAGCTGGTAGCACCTTCAACTGCTCCAACTAGAAACAGGATGTTCTTCCTTTACCCTAAATTCTTAGTTTAAGGATTATATGAAGTATTCTCCAACAAGAGTTGTCCTTCCTAGACATAAGGATTGCTGTCATGACTTCCTGGGTGTGTATTCAAGCAGCATCAAGTGTTGTTTATAGTGCACAAGTGAGACAAGACCAGGGCATGCACCAGCATGCTCTGGTTGCCTTCAGTATAAAGTCCAAGAGAGGAGCCATGGTGTGCTGGCTCCTCAGTCCTGATGGACCTGGGGTTAGGACTACCACATGTGCTGCAGAATATATTTGCCATGTGAGGTAAGCACAGCTGTAGGGATGACTTCTAGCAGAGCACTATCTCTGAAATGAAGGATTAAGCCCCATGCTGCTATACGTTTATTGATCATTCAGTGCTTCTTTCAGCTCACTGTTATTGGTTGGTCACCTCAGTTCTTGCTAAAGGGCCACAGGCTGCAGTTTAGTTTATGTCAGCCAACAAGTTTTTCTGCACAACTTTGCCAACTATTTTCTCTGTTTGCTGGCTGCTTTTATTGTGGCTTTTATTCTTTATTCTGTTTTAGTCATGGGCACTTCATGGAGAAGGAATTGGAAATGCTCATCACTTCTAATTTGTAAGAAGTGTAATGGTACATTGCCACAATACTGTGGTTGCATTTCATAGAATCATAAAATCATAGAATGGCTTTGGTTGGAAGGGATCTTAGAGATCATTTAGTTCCAGCCCCTTTGCTCCGGACAGGACAGGGTTGCCAGCCACTAGATCAGGCTGCCCAGAGCCCCATCCAACCTGGCCTTGAATACCTCCAGGGATGGGGCATCCACAACTTCTCTGGGCAACCTGTTCCAGTGCCTCACCACCCTCTGGATGAAAAATTTCCTCCTAATATCTAACCTAGATCTCTCCTCTCTTAGTTTAAAGAGACATTCAAGGCAATAACACATGCAGTTGTACTTCAGTGCATGTTCTTTGCGTTGCCAACAACCAAAAGCATCCTTATTGATTTTTGTTTTGAAGGAGAGCACACAATAATTCTGAGATCAATACTATGCACTGCTTTCCAATCTGATGCTCTTGTGGAGCAACTAAGTCAACTGAAGCAATTGCAGACAGCCGGTGCTTGAACACACTTCAGTTTTCATCAACTGTATTCGAAACTTTCTATCAGGACTCAAGGAAAGAATTTGGTCTTAAATTCTTCTTTATAGCAATCCAATTAATACCCCTTTTAATGAACCTTCTAAATTAGATTAATCGGGTATTTATAGTTCATGAGGTAGAAATTACATGCAACACCAACTATACTTTTTAGCAAAATGAACAAGTATTTGACTAACAACAGATAGCAAATTATGGGCTATATCAAAATACATCCAGGTAAATTACCGAGAGCAATAAATTGTTTATTACTTTATATGATAAAAACATAAAGATTTTCATACCACACATTTACTGTGCTGTGCTATTATTTCAGGGTAGAGAATGATATATTGATGGTAAAAGCATCGAATAAAATAAACAAAAACAAGATCAAAATTCTTACCAGGAATTTTTTTGGCCCAACCAATCATGTGAACCAGCTCTTTGTCTGCCAGTTTCGTCAGGGACATCATCATGGAGGCCTCTGTGAATGGTTTGCTGGGACGACTCACCAACACATTGGGAGGCTCTGCTTCAAGTAGTGTTAAAACAAACTGCTCTGGACTGACTGTGCTGAGCAGGATCTCCTTCACGCGAGTTGCCGTCTCACTGTATTTCTTAGCTTTGCCAATGCAGTGCACTTGATCTTCTGAATTACGATGGCGACGCAGGATCCGATACCCACAACGTTCTCTTCTTGAGCCTGACACGAGAGGCACATGATTGCATTGAAGTATTTTTGTCTCTGTTTTGCATTATGTAAATCCAAATGTTTGGGGAGAAGGGGGAAAACCCTTTAATATTGGATGTTCTAATATTGAACATCAAGTTTAAGAATTAAATTATAGCATTCAGCATTGACTTAACCTTGTTTCCACTGACTTAAGCTGAGGCTTTTGTTTATTCTACTGGACAAAAAATAATGTTAAAAAATGTTTATTTTTGAACTTCAGTTAACTTACTTTAAAAGTTCATGGGAAAATTCCCATTGACATAAGAAAGAGATAAATCAGATCTTTAAATGCAAATAAAGATAGCTGTTTGTAAATTCTGGTTTTGATTTCTGTTTAAACTGGGGGAAGAGAAGACTTCTGAAAGTCTGGGCCGTGATACAGAGTAAATATCTCAGCCAGAAGCACAGCTGGGCCTCACTGCTGGCTGTGTTCAGCTAGGGACTCACTGTGATGCAACCCATTTTCTCCCATGAAAGTCAGCATGAGTGTCCCCCAAGCAAATTCAGCTACCTATAACTAGGAGCAAGCTCCCTGTTTAGAGTTCTGCATGCAGAATGCTATTTCTGATGCAAAGAGCCATCCTTTAAATTCCTGGAATTAATTTATTATCAAATTATTATTTATTATTGGAGAATATCAAACATTCTCCAATTCTTTGTCATTGTTATTGGTGGGACCACTGTTATCTGTTCTTGCATAGCTGCCATGGAAAGAGTCTAAAAGTATCTCCAAAAACAGACAATGTGGATTTGCTTAAACATTCAGCCATGGCTTCTACTTCCTTCACCCCTTCAGCATATTCTGTAACAAGGACTATGTTTTAGGGATTTACAAATAATCCTCGACAAGAACTAAAGTGCAAGATCATACCATATTAAAAATCAGGATATTTAAAAATATTCAGTTCCTGAAAAGATCCTTAGACTGGAGGGACCAGGCATTCCAAGCCATCTACTAGAAAGACCAGAGGATCTTGGTGTCAGCTACCAGTAGGGCCATAGGTTTGGACCTGCTGCCAGAAACATAGTTGGGTGTGCATGTGCACAAGAGGGTTTGTGCACAAGGTACCTGGAAGAACAGAGGATCCAGGGGCCAGCTACTGGATAACATTGACTTTCTAAAGTCAGTTACTGGAGGAATCCATAGCACATGTGTGTTTCTTTGACCATTTGTGTGTGAGAAGGTCTGAGTACCAGCAACTGGGCACATAAGTGCTCAATATTGGAGAACAGCCTCTATCTGGAAACCTAAGAGACTGGAGAATACAAACAGTTAACGCTGGTTCAAAGAACAGCCCTCAGGCATGGAGGAATCTAAGTGGAACAAGATATTTGAAACTGGAATAATAAGCTGGAAGTCCAGCTTAAATTCTGCATCATGTTGGTCAAGGATGGTTTTGCATCCTTGAAAGGAATATGGGTAGGATGAAATGGGTTGAGTACTGACAGAATATTTGCACAAATAATGGTGTAGGAAGAAGTCCCGAAATATTCACGGAGTCCTCATGGAGGTAAGAGTGAACTTTCGTAAAGTGACCTTTATTAGCTTAAAACAACACACTTTTATAGGGTTCTACAGGGTTCATGTGGTACAAACAAATTACTATTGGTTTAATTAACTAAATATCACACATGTCATCTTATAATTGGTTATAAGTGAATCTACTTCCGCATTCATGCCAGCCTCAGTCTCTCCCTCCTTCCACTTCCAGGTGGCACTTCCTCCCCACCCCCGTGGCCAGCCAATCCTGTTGAACATCCTCCCTTCTGTTTACGACCTTGCTGCTGTTTCTCATCCTTATCTTTTAAGGAGACTTCAGGGGCACTGCCTTCAGGGCTACGAGCTGGGTTGTGCAGGCAGACCTTAAGGAAAACATCATGCCCTTGCTCTGCCAAGATATTCTCTACATAATGGATTGAAGGAAAATGATCATGATTTGCAGAACCAAATACTTAGCCAAATGACATCTAGCTGGAAGTTCCCAGAGCAGCTGAACAGCAGTTATGGAAAGATAATATAGTAGTAGAGACAATCAGAGCTGGAGACATTATTTTATAGTAGATTCATGAAATCGGACTTGATGATACCGAAAAAAAGGTCACCTGCAGAACTACACAAGTCACAGAGCAATTTGTTCAACCATCTGTCTGGGCAAATCCTTTTCTTCCTAAGAGAGGCAAAGGACAGTGAGGCATAGACTAATTTCTACAAAGACACTGGGATGATGTAGTGAACTCTGTGCTAAGCCTCATTTTGGACTAATGCACAAAGGTCAAGAGGAAAATCTTAAAGTGCTTTGTCAGCTTCAGAAAAACATTAGAATGGCACAGTGGGCTGCAGAATGTTCTGAAGTCACATCATGCACAAAAAGTATGCAAATATTTTCCATCAGGGAAGACAAAGAGGAAAGGTCGACAGTGAACTAAGCAACTGGAACAAAAGTACAACTGGAGACAGATGAGGAAATGCCTAGGTGTCAAGGTGGTCTACCTACAAAGATCTCCATAGCTCTGATTTCCACATGAATGTGCATGGTACAGACCATAACCACCAGGACAGAACTGAACCAAAGCAAGAAGCAACACCTCACATCATTTCCACTGTTTAGAAAGCTGAAGCACGTTGAACATGGGCATCTTGAAGGACAGAACAAGAAAAATAGCACAGAGGGACTAAAAGCCATAGGGAAATACAGGGCAGAGGAGAAATTTTCCTGGGCTATCAAAAAATAGCAACTGCTCCATGACAAGCATAGTTTTTATTCTCCAGTACCTGGTGGAGCTGTGAAGGCTCAAAAAAGAATACACGTGAATAGCAGTCTTTTAATTAAACACATGGAGAAGCTGTTTAGTTAGGGACTATATCTAAAATTATAAAGTTAGAAAAACTACTGGTTTAAGATGGAGGTGGGGAGAGGAGGAGGTACCTGATGACACAACCAGGAAGAAATTCCAGCAGTTTGGACACACCTGCCAGAAGCAACATGGGGTCAAGCAAGCACTTGCAACCAGCTCATTGGCCCTAGTTCAGTTCCTGGCACTGAAGTGAACCAAGTGTGCTCTTGTGGGACCCCACATCTTCTGATCAGTTGTCTTCAGCTCTGTGATACTGTCACCCCTACTTCTCTGTGATATGGAAAATATCAGGTCTTCAGTGTCAAGATCTGACTTAACAATTCCAGTTCACTGTTGTGAAGGTTTTTAAATAACACTTTGTAGCCTTTCCAAAATATAAACACACAGGTAAGTGACCAGGTACTTTAATGAAGATCAAAGAAATCAGTAAAATTTTAAAAAAATATTTAAAAAATAGTAGTCCAGCACCCTATTCTAATTGATAAAGTCTTGTATCACTTTCATCTGCACAGCTGCACTTCATGCTCCACCTTAAAATAATTCAGTCAAGATGTTATACTTGTTGACAGTAATAAAGATCTCAATACTTATGGAGGGTTCTTACTGGGAAATAGCAAGCCCCTTTAAGTTACTTTACCTAACTAAATCAAGTTTCATATATAACCAGCATTTCTAAAAAAGTAAAAAATAATAATTTTTTTTAGTAAAAAAAGCTCAAAATAATAATAATAATCATCATCATCATCATCAATGGTTTCTAGGAGTGCTATGACATTTCTGCACAAAAAACTTATTACTAAAAAAAAATATAGTTAGCGGCAAAAAAGGAGGGGGAAAAAAAAAAAGCAGATTCTGAATTATAGTTTGTATTTTTAATCCCCATATATGGCCAAAGCAGGCTAAGGCTGATTCACTGAGCAGTGTGCAGAAAACACAACTGTACAGTGTTTAAATTAAAGGAGATAATAGTTATTTCCATATGAAAATTAATTCTGTTTGTATTTAAAAAAAAACCAAACTGCATTGTAAGATTACACAACTAAGAAAACAACATTTAAGCTTGCCAGTCAATCAACAGATCTGAAAGTAGTAGCCTGTCCAATTAAATCAACATTTCAACAATATAAAGGAACTTTTGTGCTTTTTATTCAAAACCAAAGTTTAGGCAGGACTGAGAAATTTTACTCATACATCTATTAGCATCCAGCAGGCATGTACACGTGCTTATAAAACTATATATTATAAATAATTATAGACCAGATTAACATTTACCTTAACTAGACACAGAGATGTGGATCAATCTCTGTAAAAGCACAGCAATAAAATACAACTTTCCAGATGAGGGACTATTTCTGACTTTACCACAAACTCCCTAACTATACTTAAGAGCTAATATTCATTCATATAAAGGTAATTCAGGCAACTGGAGAAGTGCACAAGATGATCAAATCCCTCATTATTCCCACAGCACTCTCCTCATTTAGAGCTGTTCTTTGTGCAAAACAAATAGCTATATTCAGCTAGGAATGCTGGACCAAGGGCAAGACCTTGAGCTACAGCACCATGGACCTCATGGGTAAATGATCACAGAGTATAAGAAATAAGATACACTGAAAAAAAGGTCATTGAAATTAGCCTGTTGTTCACTCACCCATGAGCAAGCCACAACAGGTATTATTGGCACTGAAACACACTCTCTGTACAGCACCTCCTGCTTTACAAATTCTTTGAAAATTGCAAATGCCTCTTCTGTCTGATGTGCTGGGCAGTTGTATGGCATGTTGTTCTTAATATTGATCTGGCACTGGCAACTGCTCATGTATGTAACCAGTTCAGCAGCAACTGCAGCTTCTACCATTGAATACATTATAATCAGTTTTTGTAAGTGTTTGAGCTTAAAACTTGCTCTAGTATACATTAGTAAATCATTATCCCTCCAGTCACCTTTGAAAGCAACTGCAAATGTTCCAGTGAGTACGTCTGTATTCACAGAGCAGACCTACTGACAAAGCTGCTGTCTGCCATACACACATGAGAACACGAGCTGAAATTACTGTAATTTTTATAACAGCTAAAATACAATTAATACATCTGATGTCCAGAGAATGCCATGAAACATTTTTTTCCCCACTCACTTTCTGTGTGAAAAGTAATTTGCACTATTTCAAAATGCTGTCTAGAAACTGCACACAGCAGCCAAGCACAGGAGAAAAGAGAGCCAAATCCTGAACCATATCAACCCACAGAAAAGTCTATTTTTCTTTCTGCAAACTTGTGGAATGATGCCAGTATTCAAGGGCAGTATTGCTCCATTGCTTTTTAGTATGGTCCCTCACCCGCCTCATTTGGGGCGGGGAGAAGGTAGAAAGGAACTTTACCTTTGGAACATTTTCAACACCTTGAGAACTGGTGCACCGGGAAAAAGATATAGGAGTGGGGTGGGGGTAGCAGGGAATAGAAGGTAAGTCTAGTCCGACAGGGAAACTGAAAACTCCTTATGGAAGGAGATCTATTTGAGCCTCAGGAAGCAAAAAACCAAAAGTATGAGGATAGTTGCTCCCAGAGTGGCTACAGTTAAGTGATGAAGCAACTGCCCTCTTCCTTACTGCCTTTGGCAGACAGCCCAGTTCATTTCAGCTCCCCAGGTAAACCCCAGAAAGCTCCAAGAGAAGAATTTTATCACAATCTGTTTTATTCGAGTTTACTGGGCAGAGTTTACTGCAGTATTTCTGCTTAACTTGTGCCTGGTGACAGTGCTTTGCAATTATTTTTCTACCATCACTAGTAGTCCTAGTGCCAAAATTAAGCAGTAGCTTTCTTGATTGGAACAGGAGGCACCACAGACTTCCCACAGAGAAATTTGCAGATGCACTGTCCAAGACCCTCATTGTGCTTTTGGTAATTATGGTATATTTTGTAAGAAATTGTCCATTGTCACCTTATTACAAAGCACCCTCAAGCTAGCCTCCACTGAAATACCCATGGTCTTTTGGCTTGAATTCTCAAAGTTTATGAATGTGATGACATCCAAGAGAATTTCAGACCAGGAAACTTCAAAACAACACTTTCCTACTGCCTACTGCTGTTTTAAGAATGGCATATACTGCCTAATCACATTTACACACAGAAACGCGTATGCTATACATACACACATACATGCTTATTTTTTCTCAAGGTGTTCATTGATAATATGCAAAATGAGGATTTGAAGATTTGATCCAAACAGTGCAGACTTTATAAAGAGCTTTCATAAATGACAAAGCGGTAATTGAGGTTCTTTTATCACTTCTGCTGGACAACAAGTCTCCACTGAGCAAAAAAGCACTTACAAACCATTCTATCCTATCTAGACTTTTAACAGATGTGAACCAATGTATTCATTAAGTGACCTGGAAAGGGAGCAGAGATGGGGAAAAGCCTTCATTAAAAAGAAAACGTACTCTTTTATGGCTTTCTACACTAAAAAACTGGTATTAAAGCACAGCTCTAACAAGAAAAAATTTGAAAGATGATCACTTTAGTCTCCAGGAAATGGCATTTATGTTTCATGCAAGAAATACAGTCTTAAAATCTGTCTGGTTTAAATTTCTGTCACCGTGTGTCCATGCATCAGCTTTACTCACAGGTGCCTCTTAACTCATCATGCAACTCAGACTATTCTGAGTAATTTTTATATTCCCTTTTCTGAAATTAAATTGTTAAGATTCTCAGACTAAATTCTCAAGAGTCTCAAGTATCAATGCTACTATTTAAAAACTGATTTTTTAAAAAATGCAGTTCCTATTATAGTTTCAAAGTGTCATTTTTAGTCTGGCACAGTCATTAATGTCCTATAAACATTCATTATTGTAGAAAAATACATTTATGAATATGTGAAAAGCTTAAAAGGAACACAGGCTAAGACACAAGTACATATTATTTACTAGTTGTAGTACCATAGTACCCAAGAGGTCTAATCACAAACCAAGACTTCCTGGACAATTAGAATAAAAGGATTAATTTAAGGAAAGCATTGTGCAGGACGACCTTATAATGTCATAGTGGAATCAATCTTTACAAAAACTCTCCAACTCCAGAACTGGGGCTTGAAAGAAACCCCTGTTGGAAAAACTTTGAGTAAAATTCTCAGTCATAAAGATGAACAAAAGACAGTGACACCATTCAGAAAGTAAGGTTTCAAAACAAGTCTCATTTGCACATGTAAGGCTTTCCTTTGGGAGGCCAGATAGCAATGGTAGCTAAGACCATATTAATGAAAAACACCAATAAAGGTGAGATGCATCATCAGTGCAGAAGAAGATAAATGCTCCATATAGAAAGAACTAGCTGACTTGAGCAACAGAAATTAAATGTACTTCAGGAGTACAAAAATAATACAAGGAACAATTGAAATTGTAGTTCTAAGCTGGGAGTTATCAGCTAGAAATGAAAAGGGAAGCTGCAGTCATAACAGATCATAGAATGATTATGAACTGCCAGTGTGCCACAACCATGAAAAAGGCAAATAGGATCCTGGGTTGTATGCAGAGAAAAGCTCCTGCAGAAACACGTATGTATTAATGCTACCACAGAGAGGAGAGTTCACAGGAATATTGTCCATGATTCTGGCATCCAAGTGCAAAATGGATTATTTGATCCTGGAGCAGATTGAGGGACAAGCTACCCTGATGACTTCCAGATTCTGTCTACTTTCCTATTTTGCAAGAGGAGGAGATTTCTTGGTTTATTTAGCCTAATAAACAAGGGTTTTGAGGGGATATGATGCAGTCTGTAAATACAACCAGACCATTAACAATAAAGAGAAGAAGAGCCTCTAAGCTACAGGACAATGTTGCCACCAGAACAAATGGGCATAAATAGTCCAGCAATAAATGCAGGCTGGAATTCTAGAGAATGTTCCTAATGAAAGAAATAATCTGCAAACATCTTTCAGATCAAAGCAGTGGGAGGATGAAAACACTTCCTAACCTTGAAATAGAAATAGGTATTTACATTAAATGGGATGAAATGAGATGCATGCCTGCAAATCACAGAGGAACAAGCACAGTGACCTTCTCCTTTCCACTCCAGTGTTCCTATGTGATGTTTTCCCAGTTTATTTCTATCATGTACATTGGGGAATCTATAAGAAACAACAAATAATTTGACTGTGAAAGTACATTAGATATTGAAATATCTTTTAAGTTATTTTCTTCTTAAAAGTAATCTTTAAAATATCATCTAAATATGTAAAACTACAGTGAAGTCACATCACTTGTAAGTGATGATGACTTACAAGGGATGATGATTTATTCCCTTATAAGGGAATAAGAGAAAAGGCTGGATAATTGTGAGTCGTGCAGTGACAAACAGTGATTGTTCATGGCTTCTTTTGATTGAAGAGCTGGAGGGCACCATAGGAAAATAGCCTGTTCAAAAAAGAACAGTCTGCCCACCATCTTCCCCTCCCTGCCCTACCAAAGTCCCACAAAACAGCCTGGCAATCAGAGAGCTGGTTCTTCACATGACAGGTGGTCAAGCTGCTATGGGATGTGGTAGATGCTAAGACTTTACAGGATTTAAAGGAGGCACAATGGAAAAGTTGTCATTCTATTAACATATTAAGACCTATTAAATACAAAAAACCTCTTCTAGACCAGAGTCCCCAACTGTTAACTTTTAGAACCTGAGAGTTTTCAGCAGTAGTTTCACTTAGGTGCTACTCTCATTCTTACACTCTTCCCAAGGCAGTCGCTCTTGCCACTGTTGGAGGCAGGATACTGGTTTAATTAACTACTGCTTTGATGCGGCACCGCTGTCCTTGCATTACATTCAACCAGCACAGCACGGTACAGCCTCATTTACTCCATACTGAAAGGGTTTTCAGTTTGGTTTGAGGCTCAGGCAGCAGCAGGTCTTGGGTTCCTGTTCTTCAGAACACAGCATGCAAGCAAACTGCCTTCACTGCCTTCACACAACTGCTCTGCAGAGGTACTATGGTTTTCACGTGCTTAACCTACACCTTACTCCTTCCCACAGGTTTTCTTCTGAAAATGAAAAATCTTCTACTGCTTTAAGAATCAGTCCATTCCTTCCCATAAAACCAGCTCAAACCTTGCTCTAATTTCTTGTTTGTGCCTTTTTAGGATTCCAAGAAAAAAAGAAAAAAAAAGAAAAGCTATACAGAACTGTCCGAGGAGGGGAAAAAAAAAAAAACAAAAAGAAAAGCCAGCAAAACCCAAGCAAAGACCACAGACATGCAAAACTCACCACATTTCATCATTCCCACTTCATAACATTTCCGTAGCCGGCATGCCTGGCAGCTTTTGCGCCTGTTTTTATCTATTGTGCATTGATTGGTAGCTGGGCAGATGTAATCATTGTGTCCTGCAACAGAGTAAGAAGGGAAAATTTAACATCTCCAACAGTCTCTCTTGGTCATTTCCCAAATCAGGACCTTCTTGATTTTAAGCATTTCCACTTTTTCATATGCATATAGCTAAGCTCCATTAATTTCACTGATGCAAAAATGCATGTTTATCCTATACATCACTCTGTAACCAGTAACCAGACAGCACAGACCAGCTGTTAGTGATGACTGCTAGATAACCAAGCACCTTATAATACCAACTTATTTTTGAAAATGGGACATATGCTTTCCTGGAAATTTACTCCTAACCTCTAACTTCTCACTGTACATTGGGACTCCACAGATGGCAGATTTTTTTTCCTCAGCAGAGTTGAAAACAGCAGTGCACGCAGCTTCAGTCCTGCAAAGATTTAAGTAAACTACAGCTCTATTTACTGAATGCTCTGATGTGGTGAGTTCCAGGAATGAAGAAGCCTTTGGAGGATTGACCCTGGACCAAAGTTAATAAAAAAAAGAAGTCCAAGAGACGAAGATGACTAGTATAAAATAATGCACACTGTGTAGCACAAAGAAAAGCTAAAGCAGAAGGTATAACTTTTAGATATTCTGGACAAGTGCTTCTCTTCTATTCATCAGCTTCCCCTACAGACTCTTCTGTTCTATTCTCCTTCTCTCCCACCTCACCTCACCCCCACCCAAATCCCTTTGCATTATTGTATTTCATTAATCAATAATCTGGTTCAAAGGTTTATTACTGCAAATTGGACTTGAGTATGCTCTTGGCACAAATACAGTTGAATCATCTCCTGCAAAATACTGGAAATCTCTCTTGCAGTAGTTATCAAAGGATGCAAAAAATATTCACTCATTTACATTTCTTAATGTTTTTTCTCTCAGGTTGCTCTTTAAGTTATTTTTTCAAACTTTAAGAATAGATCAGGCAAAGATACACCTACTGGATTTTTTTTAACTTGATGTAAGTCCAGGAGTTCATGTCCCCATGAGTAATTATTTAACTGAACCATTGTGACTATTTCCTTGCAAAATTAAAATAATTTTAACCTTGAATTTTTGAACCGACAATATTAAAAAGAAGAGATCAGGTTACAGTTTGTCCCATTTCCTACTGGCAGATATGACTGAAAAACAAATTACTGTTTATCACTGTTCACACAACATGGGGGGAAAGGAGGAGGAAGCTCTCTGTTGCACTATAACCCAAGCGCACAGGAGCATAAAGTGGTTTAAAACTCCCGTGGCCTTGGAATAATTTAGCTTGCAGGCAGATGTTCAGAGATGTGGGTCAAATACACTACCCTACAAACTTAGACAAGCAGAGGAGACCACACACAGTTACTCAGTCATACCATCTAATTTTAATTAGACATTAGCCCAACATTTTGGTCTATGGTAGGTCCAGAAGTTCTTTATTTTTATAAGCAATATCCTTCATAACAACAGTTGCAACTGAGTGCTTGATGGTGTTCTATGCCAAGAACTTACTTCCATTTATTTGAATTACAAACAAACATTACCTGACATAGTACATTAAGGTGTACAAAAGGCCACAATGGGTAGCACGTTCATGGTCAAAGCACATGTGAGCAATGCAGAGCAGGCAAATAATTTTCCTGACAGAAAACACTTTGACAATAAATTCTAACTCCATTTGTGACAAACTGGAGACAAAGTTCTCTTCAATTATTTTAGAAATCAAAAGTACTTGCACCAGTTTATTGAAATTGTTATTCACCCATGCAGAACTTGCACAATAAATTGGAAGGGCAAACAAGTTTTGAATTAAATTTGATTCTAATGGTGACACCAGCTCTGCCATATTGATTGCTAAAGGCTTTGTGTGCAGAGGAGGAAGGAAACTTTACAGGCCGAAAAATGACAGGATTTTCTGTGTTAGTATCTGCATGTAGTAACCAATGTCAATCCAATTAAGTTTCCATCAAGAGATCCCAGGTGAGGCCAAAGAATATGATCACTAGAGCCAAGGTTAAAGAAATTAAGCAGTCCAAAGTTGGAATATGGTGCATAAGTCACCGTTCATAGGCTGTGATAACAAACTTGCAGACCTACATTTACTTCATACTGCAGCCACTCAGCAAATTTGAACTAAATACCAAATATTTAAGAATTTAAACACCGAAGTGGAAATCTTAGATAGAGAGATCTGGCAGAGTAAGAAATACTGCAATGTAGGCTTTGGGGGGTTTAGGGCTGAGAAATAACAGTAATCAGGTTTGTACCTAATACTTGCTACACATATTTTCATATCCTACATACTGTGTAGATATTACATGCTATGACTCAACAGCTCCAGGCAATATAGTCTTGTCAAGAATAGTTCCTGGCAAGCAAAGTCTCCAGACAATTACCTACTCTAGCTGTATCTATTAGAATAAATTCATAATTATTATGTCTACTTTGGGACACAAATTGCAATCAGATTCACAGGTCTGCAGTTCCACCCCACCAAGGCCTTGCTGCAGGGCCTTCCCAAGCTACGTATTCCACCTCTTCTCTAAAGAAATCAATTGTTCACTTTGCAATATTTCCAGATCTTGATAACGTAAGAGCCAAGAGATAACAGACAAATCATGTGTTGCTCTATTTTCAGCATGCAGCACCATACACCAGGATTTTAGATCAACTGCTGCAGCCCCCTATTATATGAAACAACTTCTTTGAGCAAAGTTATCAAAAGCTGATTCTCCTACCTTGAATACTTCTTTTAAAGAATGCTTTGCAGCCTTCACATGACCAGACCCCATAGTGGTATCCTGAAGCATAGTCACTGCAGACTGCACAGAAGTGGGCATCTCTTTTTGAGCCAGCATTATTTGCCATCGGGCTTGTACAGTCATTGCCATTAGTTTTTCTTTTTAACGTTTCTCTGATGGAAAAGAAAAACATCTGTTATAAAAGAGGAAAAAATTGATCTACATTGCAAGCAGAGAGTTTCATTATTTTCCATTGTCTTCTATTCTCTCTCTGTACAGTCTTCTTACTACTGAACACAGGATAGTGTGAAACACTGTTAAGCTTTTTTCTGATAAGGTTATTTAAAGTATTTAGTCTAATCCCAGAGCTTTCAATAATGACAGACTATAAAGTTTTAAAATACTCAAAGGCATAAAACTGGACTGCTGATGTGTCATTCACATGAACTCTGGGAAAATTATATGGAATGCTGATGGATCTTGAAGAATTCTTGGAAATGCATGAGTCCAGGAATTTGTGAACCAAGTAGTTCTTGCCTTTGGGAAGTTTTGCATGGAAAATATAAACTCAGACAGCTAGGACTGACATGAAAAACACTACCACAATCAGAGCTGCAGTTGCTTCATACTGTTAGCGAGGCAAAATTCTAGCTGGAGCAATACACACCTAGTCTCAAGTATTTCATCCTTTAAACGAGGCTTTATTCATTAGTGAGATGATGGAAACAAACATCTTGAGATATGAATCTCAGCCTACAAGATCAACTCACAATGTTACACCAAGTTTTCTGTTCAAGGTGACAACCCACATTGATCACCCTAGTGCTAAAGAAAAGGAAGTCTGAATACAAGAAGAATGGAGAAACACAATTAATAAAATACTTTCATACATAAAAAAATATTGCTCCATATATGTTAATAAAATATATGCATTCCTGAAGTGCTGTAAATAGTTCCAACTTACTGGAACTATTCTTAGTGACTGGATTAAAATTAGAACAGGATAAAAACATGAAATAACAGCCAATTCCTGACACCAAGATCCTGTAAACAAACAGCAAGAGGAAAGAAACTTAGATTATCAGCAAAGTCTTTTTTAGGTATAGGAAGCACACCCATTGTGTAGGTTTTCTCTGGACCTCATTTTCTTGGTGGCTTTAGCATACCTTACCTTCATGCTCAATACAATTTCTAGAGAGAAAGAAAATAGTGTCATGTACAAACTCTCAGCAGCAGTTTGGCAAAAGGAAAGCTGTATAGTTAACTTATAGGTACAAGTTCAGCACAGAGGCAGAAGTTAGAAACGGCAGAATTTTCCTCATACCACCTTCTAGCAGGATTAGGGAGGAGAAGAAATATCAGTTGGGATAAGACAGAAGGCAGCATGATTTATGACTTCTAAAGAACAAGGGTGAGTTGCCCAGACAGAAGAAACATGTTCACCAACAAGAGTAAGTTTAAACAGAACAGTAGAAACATGCTGAAAGTGCTGTCAAAGAGGCTTTAACTAACATATTAAAAGTAGATTTTGTGCTGGTTTCATGTCAGGAGGTGAGGGAAAACACACCCACATGCCAACTAAAAACCATTAAATTTATAAGTATTTGAGGAGAACGTGCTCCCTAGTAGAAAATTTGGAAAGTAAAAATGGTGGTTATTTCACCAAATTCCAAAGCAGGAAAAATAATGTATTTGTTGTACAATTAAGTTACTGCAAGCTTTTGAAAAATGTTAATTCATTCGGATATTGCAGGCCATAAGGGTGGTTAGATGTTTAACAAGCCCAGTCTTTGGTTACACACACACTCCCTTTAATGGATTACTGAATCACTAAGTTATTTCCCATTCTGCCACGCTGGGAAAACCAGTGTAGGGGATCTCTCCCTCAGAATAAAAGGACTGTATCACACATGCCTGATAGGCTGCTAACACAGGGGGGAAAAAGCATTGCTATTCCCTTCTGTTTCCCTGTATCTGGAAGAAAAAGTAATTTGGCATTTCACATTAGGAGTAGTATATTTTTAAGTAGTACTGGGGATTCATGATTCAATTACGATAACCAGAAGAGAATCAAAATCAGCTAGAGAGCATCTCAGTGACTGACTGATATGCTGTAGAGAGTGATGTTTCTTGTCCTTGTTAAAGCACCAAGATGTTATGGATGAAAATAAAGAAAAAGCACACATGGTAACATCTCACTGAGGAGTGTTGTTTTTTACCTTCCAGTCATGACAAGTGTTTTAAAAAACACTTTTTCTGTCCCTGCTTAAAAGTTTAACAACAGGCACCCTGCACACATGCAAACCGCGTGACTTCCGCAGACTCTGGCAAACAGCTTGCACGCAGAGCAACGATCTGGAACAAATTCCTCCTGCAGGATGAACGGGCATCAAATCTGCTCATCTGTGATAGCTGCAGCACTGCAGCAGGAGGTCCAAACCAAATCATTTTGTTAAAGACAACAGAACCAGGAAATAACTGACAGCTTTAGAGTACACGTTCCTTACTCTGAGAACCTCACGATCAGAGTAGCCACACAAACAGCAAACTGGAGTGGGTAGCCCTACATGTGATTAGAGACCACCTCCAAGAGCTCTTGGGACTGGTGGACACCAGCAGGG